ATCGTGTATGTAATCCAAGAGCTTTAATAAATTCCAAGAACCAAATAACAAAAACAAAAACAAAAACAAAAAGCAAAAATTTCAAGTGATCTTCATCGAGATTCTTTTACTTGAAAATGATGAATAAATGAATAAAGTTTTTCAATATGGGGGGAAAAAACAGAATTTTCTCTCGTTTGTTCTAGAATCTGATTCTGTGATCGACATTTTGTGAAAATGACAAACAAAAAAAAACAATTTGCCCTCAAAACAAATTAAAACAAAAAATTTCAATTTAATTAAAACGAGCAAAAAAATTCTTGAATACACATGGAACAGAACCAGAATAATTGTTGTATATTGAAATTTTGTTTCGTTTTTTTTCTATTTCCACTCTCTCTCTCTCTTTCTTTCTTTTGATGAAAATGAAACAAATCAATGAATGGAATCATAAATTATTTATTTATCATTTGTCCGTCTTTTTTTCCCCTCATATCTCTACACAACCAAGAGAAAAAAATTCTGATATATTCCTTTGATGTACATTACATAATTATTCTGTGTATTTGTGTGTGTGTGCTAGACATTCATATCGATCGTAATGGCTGTAGTGGAGCAAAAATTCTATAAAAGTTTTTCTCATCATCATCATCATCGTCAGAATTAAACTTTTCATCATGATGATGATGATTATGGTGGTGGTAGCAACGAACGAATGAAATGAATAATCAAAAAAAAAAAAAAAAAAAAAAAAAGGAAACGATGAATTTCAAAGAATTTGGTTCCATCGTTTTTATTTTCTCTCATATTCTGTTCATCATGATGACATCATAAGGATGAGGATGATTAGTTTTTTTTGGTAATTCATGAATGAAATGAAAATTTTTTTTCTTTTAAAATTCATTTCTTTTGGCTAAATTCACCATTTTTTTCAATTAAATAATCCAAATGTTTACATTTGATCATGTTGTTGTTGTTGGCTGATTCTGGAACATTAGTTATTATTCTGTGTATGAAATAATAATCAAATCGAATCATTATCATCATCATATTTAATGCTGAAATGAAAAAAAATTTTTTTCTTTCGAGCATCAATTTCAACAATATTTTCATGTGCGGCAGTGTTGATGTTTATTTAGGTGTGTAGGTTATTATTATTGTAATAACGTTTGAATATAAAAAATTCTGGATTCAAATTCAAAGACTGAGAATGTGATTATAATATTCGAGCAGAATCCCTTCGGCTATTATGGTGATGACGATGATGACGATGACATAACGGATGTTTTTTTTCTATCTGCCATTTTTTCCTCTTCTTCTCATCATTATTATTGAGGTTTTTTTTATTGTCTATTTGAATACAGAATTGGATTTCAAATTCCAATAGGAATCGATAATAATTTACTACGTGTCATTCCGATGGCATGCATAATGCTTAGATGAATAGTTTGATGGCGACAATTTTATTTGGAAAATTTTTTTTTCAAAATTTCTTGCAAATCATCATTGAATAGTTTTTTTCCAGTGCAAAAACGATAAATTTCCCAGTAAAGATAGAAAACCATGATTATCACCTATACACATCATTACTGGTAAATTCATTTCGGTTATTTATTCATTCATTCATTTTTCATTGTTTGTTTTGTTTGGTTTAATTTTTTGCTAAAATTGCATAAATCATCACAATCATCATTTATTTGATTGTGATTGTGATTCTGACGTTACTAGCTAATAAATAATGTCGTCACCGCATTTTATTTCATTATGGTTGTCGTCCATCCTTTTTTTTTTAATTCTTGCATCAAATTCATCAAATTCACAATAACAGCAACAGCAGCAGTAGTAGTAGCTGTAGTAGTGGTGGTGGTAGTAGTAGTTAATTAATTTTCAGTGTAAATTTCATTTCAAATTCATTATATATGGATGTGCAATGTACCAGAAATGGACAGCAATAAACAGATGAAAAAAATTTACACGATTTACACATGACCAGTTTTTTTTGCTGTTTTAACATCATCATTATCAAACTATCCTGTCCACACAGGTGAACAAAATTCATATTTTTTTTTTTGTTTGTTTGTTTCTGAATTTCATTCGATTTCATTCATTTATAAATCTGAATCATGATGAATTTTCTTTTTGGTCATTGATAAATATTTATATGGATATATTTTCAGAGGCCGACTGGTTTGTTGTTGTTGTTGTTTTTTTTTCGCGAATCCGGTTCATGATGAATGATGACCAAAAAGAAAAAAAAATACACCCACACACACACACACACATATGATGTAATAAATTAATTAGTAATTAATCATCATGTGTGGTGGTATTGGTGTTTTGGTTGTGCCAAATGCCATTACCATTGACCATTGGCCATCATAAAGAAATTTTTTCTTTTACATTTATTCTTTGATTCTAGAATTTATTCTGTAGATTCTGTGTGTGTGTGTGTGTGTGTGTGCGTGTCTATGTCATTGTGTCCAATTTATTATCCTGATTGATAGTCAGTATTTTTTATCAACCACACATACACGCACATGCATGCATACACACGTTGTCGGGTTTTTTTTCATTATTGATGAAAGTGAAAAAATAACAACAACAACGACAACAACAACAATTATTGATCCACAAAACAAAAGAAAAAATGTTTGTTTGATCATTCGGTTTCATCATTTCATTTCATCATCTGTTTGTTGTTCCATCTGGGTATTCTCATTTCATTCATTCATTTGGTTATATTTCGTGAGTTTTTCATGGGTTTCTTTTTCTTTCTCTTCTGATTAGATTAGTTAAATTGTCGATTGATTGAAATCAGTGCAGGAATTGTTTTTCATGAATCTTGGATTCTTTAATCAGGTTTTTTTTTCTCGCCGTCGTCGTCGTCGTCGTTGTTGTTGTTGTTGTAATCGGCTTAAATTTGGTATTATAAAAATGTACAAATGACATTGAAAAAATTGTCGACAACAACAACAACAACGACGACGACAGCCGAAAAAAATCCGATAAAAGTTTCCAAATAAAAACCCACTCTATATATATATTCATCACCTGCAGCATCTACATTCTTACGGTATGGCTGAAACCTGAATTGATTGATACCAATCCGGAAATATCGAACGTGAAACCGGATCAAAATACAAAAACAAAAAACGAAACAAAAAAAAACCAATTATACGATGTGCAACAATATCACTGAACAGAATAATAATCCTTATAATCAACGGTTGTTCAACTGAATATTGGAAAAAACTTTTTTGGGACTAAAATAAAATTTTGCAACCTGTGAAAAAAAACGAACACCATGGTGTATTGAAAAAAAAACCGTGATGATTATGGATGTAATATGATCGGTTATTATTATGATGATGATGATTATAACGATAATGATGATGATGATGATTGGTCTTTGTTGCTTTAATTATAATTTTCTCTTGAAAATTCTTTTTTCCTTTATTCAATTTTGGAATTTTTACCTTTTTTGTTCTGGCATCCATGGCCGTCTATTATTATGTTTCTATTTCTACCCCAGTGTATCAGATTTCATCGAGAGAGAGAGAGAGAGAGAGAGAGCGAGAGCGAGATTCAAAATGATAATTTGAAAATTATTTTCATTTAGTTGACAATTTTTCGTTCGTTTGTTTGTCCGTTGAATCAAGAATATTCCATTTTCCATCCATTTTGAGTAATAATAGTATGATGATCAACCACATTGTATAATCAATGAAAAATGAAGAAGAATATTCTCAGGAAATAAAAACCAGGATGTAAAATAATGAGCAGTGGAATGCCAAGAATTTTTTGTTTTCGTTTCTTTTCTTTTGTGGTAAATTCACCTCTCTCTTTTTCTTTTGTAGGTGTTTTTTTTGGTTTCGCCATTAACTAAATTAACATTATCATTTCATAGTAATCAGTAATCACAATTAATCATAATCATCATCATCAACATCGGAGAAATAATGATGATGATGAAGAAGAAGAAGAAAAAGTGAAAAAAACAACTGAAGACAAGAGAAAGTTTTTTTCTCCATTTTTTCGGTAAATTTCCTTGTTGTCATCGTGTGTGTGTGTGTGTGTGTTTGTCATTGTGTTATTGTTGTTCCAACTGGAAACACATACACACACACACACACCAGAATTGAACAAAACAAGAAAAAAAAGCTTCAGCTTTTCAAGTTTCTATACACACATACACACACAAAAAAAAAAATTTCCAAAAAGCAGGATAATTAAAATGATGATGATGTTCAATGAAAAAGAGTTCCAGATACAAAAAATTCTTATCTTTCAATTTTTTTGTGTGTGTGTGTAAGTTCCATCTTTTTTGTTGTTGTTGTTCATTATTATCATCAACATCATTAACATCATCATTAAATGGTGGCATGCGCAGCAGTAATTTTTTCTGTTTTTTTTTGCAAACTAAACAAAAATTGAAAATTTTTTTAATTTTTCTCCATTTCCATTTTTTTTCTATATGCAGAGCCTTCTTTAGCGAGCCTTCCATGGCCATCCGGTTCATCATCGACGAAGAAATATGGCAATAATCAAAGTGATTCCATCATGCCTTCCATAAATGACGATCATGTTATGAAAATTGAATTATCATCATCATCATCATTGCGATTGCCATTACCATTACCATTACCATCAACATTCGATAATTCATGGTATGAATATATATCATTTATAAATGTCAATCAATCACTTTTATAAAATTGAATGAATTTTTTCTCTTTTATTTTCAAATTTTCACGAATCAAATCGATTCTTTGATGCACACACGCACAGGATTCAACAACAACAACAACAAGAATCCAATCATTGGAATAATCATCAAAATATCAATAATGGTTATCATGGTGATGATCATTGGAATCAATTTGTACAAATGTCAAATTATCAAAAACCATCAATTACCACTACTACTACTACTACTACTACTACTGATGGTTATCATAATGATATCGATGATGATGACATGATGATGAAATTATTCATGCCAACAGCCGAAACAACATCGACATCAAATATGCAAATGATGAAAAATAATGATAAAATGGCAGCCTCAGCAGCAGCAGCAATAATTAATCAACGTGTTGTGAAAGATACACAAAAAATGGCCACTGGTCATCATCAAATTTTTCATCATAATCAAAGAAAAAGAAATAGAAAAAAATCATTGCCAATGGGTAATAATCGTCAGAAAATGGTATGATTTTTTTTATTTGTTTGCGCCAGAGAGGAGAAAGGGTGGAGCTAAGAAATTTTCTTCGGATTTTAATTTCGGAAATTTTTCTTTCTTTGTTTTAGCTTCAATCATCATCGACTGTGATTAAATCAAATGGCCAATTATCATTATTAAAATCATCAAAATCAATGAGAAACTCGAATGCAACTCAAATAAATCACGTGAAATCAAAAATTAATAAATCGGGTGATGAATATGACTATGACGATGGTGAAAATGATGATGACGATAATGATTCAAATGAATCATCAACATCGATACCATCGATATCGCAACAATCGATAAAACAACCTGTTTATGAAGTAATTGTCAATGAAGAGGAAACAGATTTGCCTAAAAAATTATTTCAGGTTCGTTTTGTTCGTTTCACATATTTTCTTTCCAAATATTCAAACAATCGGAATTCATTTGCCTGTTTTTTCGGGTCAATTTTTTCAATTAACACACACACACACACAAAATACGATAATGATTCAATGATGGTCAAGTGTGTCTGCATAGAATCTACAGAATCGAATCATTTATTTTCTTTTCTTCTCTCGAGAATCAAATCTAATGGAATGAAAAAAAAAATTTCCAAAAAAAATTTCCGAATATCAAGTGCGAGAATGAGTTGTTTATTGTGTCATCATTGTCCATTGTGTGTATGTGAGTATGTGGGCTCTCAATTCAGTTTCGATTACTTTTCCATTTCAATTTGTTTTGATAGACATTTTTTTTTTTGCTTCACTTTCTATATCTGTTTTATTTCTATTTTTTTCTGTCATTTTAAGTCTTTTGGCTACTAAAAAAAAATCGGTTTCCACACACACACACACAGAATATGGTTCGTTATCGTTTTGGTTCTGGTGGTGGTTGTGGTGTGGGTTTGTTGGTGGATGTTCTGTGAAAAAAAAATCGTTCAAAATCATCAGCCCCAATAACACAACCATATACTGTATATATGAGAGAAAACTATGCCGAAATTCTGGTTTGCGTGCGTATGTGTGCGTGTGTGTGTGTGTGTGTGTGTTTGGTGACAACATGACAAATGAATTTTTTTTTACTCAGTTTCCACGCTCTTTTATTATACGATTTCAAATAGATAGATGTGCTGTAGTTTGACGTTTTGTGTTGTGATGTGATGTGATGTGACCAATACACAAACAAAATATATATCTCAATAAAGTTTTTGTATGGCCGATCAAAAAAAAAAAAAAAAATGAGAATGAGAATGAGAATCACACACACCCATTATCATTATCATCATCAATGTTTGGCCAAATTTTGCGGAAAATATCCTTCAATATAATAATAAGAGAATAATAAAAGAATGGAAAATTGGCGAAAAAATAAGAATTCAAGCGGCAAAATGAAAATGTTTCAAATGCCAATAATTTTTAACAGCTTTTTTTTCTCATGATGATGATGATGATGATTGTTGGTTGAACATCATCATCATCATCATCATGGGAAAAATCCTGATAATGATAATAACTGCGGCTGTGGCTTGTTGTATTATTCTTCAATGATTCTTTGATCATTGAATCATTTTCATTCAACAACCACAGAATTTATTTATCCATTCATTCCATTTTTTTTGTTCATCATCAATTTTGATGTTTTTTATTTATTTATTTATTTTATCCAGAATGAAATGAATCGAAACTAGAAAAATTGTTTTCATTTTCTTTTCATATTTTTGTTTGAATTTTAAATTTTTGTTGTTGTTGTTGTTGTTGTTGTGCAAAATGTTAGTGGACAAGTCATTTAGACACAAACACACACACACACACACATTACACCAAATAGAGTTGTTGATCAAATTGAATTAAACTTTTCAATGAAATTTTCACACGGAACTGCTTGTTTTATCTCTCTCGCTCTGTGTGTGTGTGTGTGTGTGTTTCATCTATTCAGTTCCATGAATCCATGCTAATAATAATGATAATAAAGCAAATCGATTTGAAACACGATGGATGGCTGGTTGAATGATGTGATATGAATGTCGATGAAAAAAAAAAATGAAAATGAATAACCCAGTAGCGGAAACAGGAAAATGGATCGTTTTTTTCCACTATTTGTTATTATTGTTGTCATCGTTGAGGTTGAGGTTATTTAATTTTTTTTTCTATTGTAGATCCTTTCTTTTCATCTGGATGCTGTTATTATTTATTAACTTTTGCACACCACCATGGATGAAAAATATATTCCAGTCCATGGGTAAATTATTCCCGTGGATCATCAGACCATGATGAGTCGTTGGAGCCAATTTTTTTTGATTTTGATTTTGTTCAATATTTATCTGTTTGTTTTGTTTGTCAGATATGAATAAATTGCACAAAACAAAAAAAAATGTAGAAAATTGATTTCGCTAATCGACCATATATATTCTCATTCTTTGTACATTCAGTATGAAAAATCCATTTGATCTTGATCCTTGCGGCTATATTTATTTATTTATATTTGCAGTTTGAATCGGAATTTTATTTTATTTTAAACAAAATTTCCTTTATCTGAAATAAAGACGAAACAAGTGGAAAAAAAATTCATAAAGGAATTTAAACGGGGGCCGCATCAACAGCAGCATTAGAAAAACATCTGTGTGTGTGTGTGTGTGTAGTACAAATTCTGTACGTGTTTGGTATTTATTTCTTGATTTGCCAAAAAATTCGCTTACACACACCCTGCGGAAATGTAAAACAACAACAACCAAAAAAAAAAAAAAATGGAAAAAAAATTCTGATTTGATTTGGAGAACAAAAAAAATGCCAATCTTTTTTTTCTCTAAACTTTTTTTTCGAAATTTTAATTCTTGTGGAAGAATATGAAGAAAAAAAAATAAGAAAATCCACGATTCATGATTTACTCACCACTGCAACAAAGACAACAACAGAATCTTTGAATAAATATTCACAATGTTTACAAATTCACAAATAAACCATTCAAGCATGCAGTGCATTTGCGAATAAAAAAAATAATTTAAAATTTTGCACTGAAAAAACAAACCCCAAAAGATAAAAAGAAAAAGGTCATATTGCGCTTAAAAAAAATTCAGACAAAATTGTAAATAAAAGAGTTAAGCATGAAAGAGGAAAAGAAATATTCCAGAAACACAAAGAAATTCTGTAATTTTTTTTTCAAGAATCTGGCAAAAGGAAACGAAAATCTTGTGGCTTCTAGTTCGAATGAATTTCAATTCAATTTTGCAGATACGGTGTGTGTGTGTGTGTGTGTGTGTGTGTGGTATATTGTATCCACTTTTTATGAATTATGACCATCATCATTTATTATGACATTTTTGTTGTTAGTATTCTGCGTGTGAGAAAGTGGAAAAAAAGTTTGGAATTCTATTTGCGGTTTCAAAGAGTTCGTTTTTCAACAAAAAAAAAAATCCGTAAAAGAAAAAATTTTCTTGGAATTTTCTACTTTTGAATTTCCGTTTTTTTCTCCAACAAACACACACGGAAAAAATTTTTTCAAGTTTTCTGCCCGGAAGGAAGTGGTTTTCGTTTCCATCAGATACATGTGATTAATTTCATTTTTTTTTTTTTTTTCACGAATTCAACAACAACAACAACAATCTAGGTCAAAGCATTGATGATCAACGATTCAAATGGTTCGATATCGACGACAACGATTAATCAAAGAAAATCTGGTGGTAGTTTTGCTGGAGGATTAATGTTCATTTTAAGTGGTATGCTGTAATTGATTATAATTTATTTTTTTTCCGATTAATCGATTTTGATTTTCGTTCTAATTCTGTTTCTGTTTCAATTTTGTTACTACTATATGGGAATAAAACAAAACGAAAAAGGCAATGGTGTCGATTATGAACATCCGGAACAAAGTAAATTTGCCATAAATACAATTACCGGTGAACTATTTTTAATAGCACCATTAGATCGTGATCCACCCGATGGTCGTGAACAATATCGATTAACCATACAAGCAGAAGATGAACGATCGGAAAAGATTAATGGTTCCGTATTGGTTATTGTACGTGTACGAGATATTAATGATAATCAACCATATTTTGAACAACATGAATATCATGCACAAGTTCGTGAAAATCTTGGCACCGGTATCGATGTGATACGATTGCAAGCAATCGATCGTGATCCAGATTCAATTATACGTTATTCAATTGAAGTTAATCGTGTTAATCAAGATGGTGAATTAATATTCGATATAGATGAATTAAGTGGCCTAGTATCAACAGCGGTTTGTTGTTTAGATCGTGAATCTATTGGTGAATATACGATAAAAATTTGTGCCACCGATCATGCTATCAATGGTGATCAACAGACGTATCATTGGTCTAATAATAATAATCAACAACAACAACAACAATCATCAAGCTTAAATCAATCATCATCATCATCATGTACAAATGTTAAAATCAATGTTACAGATGATAATGATGAACCACCACAATTTTTACGTGATTATTTTTATCTAACATTTTTGGGTGCAAGTAGCAGTGGCATTGGTAGTAAACATTTATCCGGTATTAATCAACTTTATGCTCAACGTATATTGCTCAATCAAACAATAATTGATCAAGATTTACCGGAAACAAATCACTTTATTTGTCGTTTAGATGTACAGCTAAGATTTCCTATTCAAGTGCCAAAATTATTATTACAAATAAAATCATCAACAATCGATTCCAACAACAATAATAATAACGAAACGACATCAACAACAACAACAACAACAACGATGAATGTTGAAACATTATTCTGGATGTTTATTAAAAATGAAACAGATTCCATGATGACCAACGATAAAATGGATGCAAAAAATCGTTCAACAGATAATCATCATTATCATCATTATGGCGTTGGCCATTATACAAATCTGAATAAATATTTTCAATGTTTTATATCACGTATGGGTGCAATACGTATACAAATATCGGAGAAATTTTCTCGAAAATATTTTTATCAAACATTAATACAAGAATTTGAACATTATCGGCAAAAATTATGGAATCGTTTCCGACAACGATATGGTGATGAATTTCCACATAATCTGTTACATTTAAAAGAATTGATACAATTATCTGAATATGTGGATATTTTTATTGGAATTTCAGTCAGTGATTTAGGTTATTTTGACATTCCATCCACGATATCATCATCATCATCATCATCATCAGCTGCTTTAGCTGTAGCATCAATACAACAACAACAACAACAGCAACAACAAATACAACGACAACAACAATTACAACATGATATATCCGGTTTACTGGATACACATGTTATACATGCAGAGTTGGTAATTAAATTATCAATGGAAGCGCCATATGATTTATCGAATGAATCTGATAATCCGGATGATAGAACTGGTGATAATGATGATGATGATGATGACAAAAATGGCGGAAAATGGAATCAAATCATCAATAAACAACGTATATCACCTTATGATGATAGTGATGAATTATCAATCATCAATAATAACAAAATTGATACATCATCATCGCTTTTAAAATTTAATGAAAGCAATGGTAATGGTATCGATGGTGGTATCGATAGTCGAAAAAATGGTGGACGAATAAATACATTTTTTCATCATTTTTATCAATCTACCATTAGCTGGAATTCAAATCATTGGTTTTCAACATTGTTATTTGGTGGTTTTTCCATCCTATTATTAATGTCGATAATATTCATGTTTCTAAAACGTAAAACACGTATCATACATACACGTGCAAAACATCGTCATCGTACATTTTCAAATCAACAATTTGATGATGATTCAATCAATTCTAATAATAATGTTGAACAAATTATGATTGATGGTGATGAAAATGGTAATAATCATCACGATGATAATGATGATATACATGGACATACACTATCACCATTGAGAAAATCGCCAATAGAATGTCCATCGTTTTATCAACAAAATTCACAACAACAGCAGCAGCATTTGTATTATAGTCAAATTAATAATGATCCAATATCATCATCAACACCAACAACAATCACAACGAATGGTTCATCATCAGCATTGATTATTGATAATAATCATTTAACTCATCATCATCATCATCATAATCATCATTATTATGATAATTCTACTACAGCAGCAACTACTGGACATTTAGTATTATTAAATGATCATCAACAACAGGAAACAATGTCAGAAGCAACAACAACATCAGCAACAACAACAACATCGAATGGACAATCAAAATCTATTTCACCATTTAGTATTGGTAATACTAATGTTGATTATAGTGATCATCATCATCATCATCATTTAATGACCATGGCTACTATTAACCATCCATCAACATCGTTTCAATCAAATTCACATCATCAACATAATTCATATGCATTATATGATTTAGCTCAAATCACTACTGCTGCTACTGCTGCACAACCACTATCACAAATGCCACCATCATTATCGGCTATACCGTTATCTTCATCGACAACCACTACAACAACAATACCGGAAGAAGAATTAATCGAAATGAAATCATTAATGATAACGGCAAATGATTTACAAAATCATCACCATCATCATCACCAATATTATTCTGGCCATACATCATTATCATCGATGAATAATGATGTTGTTGTTGATGATAATGATAATAATATGCCAACAATAACCGGTTCCGGTACAAATCTTTTACTTATACAACATCAACATCAACAGCCAACAAAATGTATATATCTCTGGCACCGAAACAAAAATGTCTGGTTCTTTGTATTTTTTTTTTCCTTTTTTTTTGACCATACTGTTCCCATAGGGTACGTTCTCGATGAAGGGGACTCACGTGGTGGAGTTTTGTTTTTTGTTTTTTCCTTTTGAATAAAAAAACGTGTTATTGTTGTTATGATTATTATTGTTGTTTTTTGCCCAATAAAGTTTCTTAAAAAACATCAAAAAGATGACGCCCGTTTCTGGTGCCAAGAATAACAATGAACACGTACATTTCACACGTACATACACACACACATAATAACAGCAACAACAACAACAAGAATAACCGAAAAAAAGTGCTTCCACACACACAAAAAAAAAAAATTTAAATTCAAATTCATTTTCGGCTAAATCTGTACATTTATATTCAAATTCAAATACAATGTATATATCTCTGGCACCGAAACAAAAAAATGTCTGGTTCTTTGTATTTTTTTTGATCCATACCCAAATTCCACCACCACCACCATCGAAAACCAACCAAGTTCCAGGCTGAAAAAATTTTTTTTCGTGCGACAAGAAAATAAAATCTGTGAAAAAATATTCTTTTCATTCATTCAGTTCGATTCTCTCTTTTTTTTTGAAACTCGATTTTTTTCCTCTGAAAAAAGGACAAAATAAAAGATTTTTATCGATATAAAAAAGAATATTCTTTTCTCTCGCTCTCTCAAATCGAATTGTTGAATGATCGTTTTGATTCGTTTCGACAAAAGTTGATTCGTTTAGGTTTCATTCATTCAATCGTTCAATCGATGATCGATTCTTGGATATTTTGAGATTTAAATGCGAATCGTTCCTTCTCTCTCGCTCCGGTGTGTGTGTGTGTGTGTGCCGAAATGCTTGGTGTATAAAATGAAATTTTAGATTTTTTTTTTATCAATTTTCACCATTTGTCGCTGTGTGTTGTTATTTATTCTTACATTGAAACGAAATTTATCTACTTGAAATGATCAAAATGAAATTTTCGTTAGAAATGTCTGTCTCTCTCTCTCTAACTGTCGAGTTTTATTATTCGGTTACTTTTGAATATATTTTCATTGAATTCAATTGGGAAAAAAATTTTTTCTTTTCGTTTCGTTTCGTTTGTTGTTATTTTATCGGTCATGTTATATTCTGACAAGTTCTGATGGAGAAAGAATAAATATTCTTCTATGCCATAGAATCTAAAACTGGACGATAAGTGTTGTGCCGATATCAATGTCGATATCAATATTGAGCCAGAGAATTGAACCCGTCAAATTGATGGAAAAAAATGAAAATATGCAAAAAAACAGGTTTTTTGGGGATGCATTTCAGCAATTATCACTTAACAAACAACAAAATTGGGTGAAAATAGTCGAATAAATGTAGTTAAAGGAATTCTTTTTTTTGTTTTGTTTTGTTTTATGGATCGATTTCTTCTTCCATTTGAGTGTGTGTGTGTGTGTGTGTTTCATTATTTGGTCACCCTGTTGGTTGTCTGGTGGCAGTCTTTTCCATTCCCAGTGTTTGGTGAATTCAAAGAGCAAAAAATTCTATAAATGTAATGTTTACTTCACCAGAATGATCTCGAATGAGAAAAAAACAACAGCAACAACAACAACAAAAACTTCTTAATAAGCTGACCGGAATAAAATGTTTTTAGATCAAATCAATTTCGTTTTTGTTTTTTGGTTGGTCCCATTTTCTTCAATTTTCATTCATTCCAATTCCATTCATTCATAAGATCATTCACTAATAATAATAATAAGAAAATGGAGTGAACCTTTATTCGCACATTCTAATTCATTTCGAGATAATGTACTGCCTGTAATGTAGTGGTAATGTTATCGGGCATTTTGTATTTGAATTTGATTTTGAACAAAAAAAAGTGCTGCCATCTCTAGTAGCAGGAAAAAAAGAACTACGATTTATATTATTCTTGATGATGACAAATGCTGAAAATGAATGGTAGAATAAATGCAGAAAAAATACTTTGGTTGTTTGTTTTGTTTTGTTTTTTTTTGTTCCAAATCAGAATTCTGTAATGGGCGTGTTGTGTTTTCAGTAGTGTTTTGGTATTGATCTTCATCTTGTTGTTGTTGTTGTTCGATTTCGAATCGATCATTTTCATCATCCAATCAGATCAGATTCACATTGAAAATAGATCAATGTTTTTTTCTCTCTTTGGCAGTTGTTTTATTGTTGTTGTTTTTCGCTTTCTATCCTGTGTTTGGCGGTTTTCAGCCAAAAAAAAAAAAAAAAAATAGTATCGAAACAATCGATACAATCGATGATGATGAATCGATACACGAAAAAAAAGATATCGTACGCATTTTGTTTCAATTTTTGGATATGATACACATTAAATTGACACACACACACACACACATGCACAGATGTGTCATTGTTCCTGGAACAAATAAAAAAAAGCAAACAAATAAACTTTGGTTCGAAACCAAAAAAAAAAAAAATGATCAATCGATCGGATCATCATCATTATCATCGGTCAATTGATTGACTCGGGAAATGTCCAGTAGATTCAACCAGAATCGTTTTTTCTACAAAAAAATAAAAAAAAAGTTTACATTCTCTATATCCAGCGGTATATCTGGTATCGGAAATGATGATGATGAAAAAAAATTGAACCGGAAAAAAATTTTTCGCCAAATAAAATCAAATCAACAAAACGAAAAACTTTCGAAGGAGAAAAAAAACGAATCAAACTGATAAATTGTTGTTTATATTGTTGTTGTTGATGTGGTTGGTTGAAAAATGGTGGCAAAAAAAATTCATGAAAGTTCATGAATGTCAAACACTTAACCGAAAACTGGAAAAAAATTTTCATTTGTTCATGATTGATACAGAATTCAGTGTGAAAATCAATTCACTTGACAGACATGAAAACCTTGTCAACTACTGAAAACGGAAAAAAACAACAACAGCGGCTGAAAATGAAATTGAATGATTGGTCAATAAAAGCCAGTAGTAACAATATAGTAAACACAACTATAGTTCAAACAAGTTAAAGTTGATTTTTTTTCCATTTTTTTTCCATTGGCAGGAAATGGAAACCAGAATGACGAAAAGAAAAAAAAACCCGGCTGTTTGTTTGTTTGTGCAACAACAACGACGACAGCAAATAGAAAACCGATGAATGAGTGAATATAAACAGAATTTCTGTTTGATTAACTTATTCCACCATTTTGATTTGAAGTGGTTATGAACTCTATGAATCAATATACGATAAAAAAAAAACCGGATCCGATTCCGAATTGAATTGAATTGAATTCAATCTCTCAGTCGGTCGCTTTTCAAAAATAAAAGAATTATCGAAATTGAGAGAAATGGAATTTCGTTTTTTTTTGTTTTGTTTTTGTTTCTGATCATCTCAGCTTACTCTAATACAAATGTACATCTCTGGTCTGTCGGTTAGTGCCGGTATTTCGTATGTAGAATTTTTATTTGTTCTGATGACAACAACAACAACAACAACAAAAAAAATTTGTTCTTCTGGTTTATCATCATCATCATCATTTTTGTTGTATTCAAGTTTCATTCGAATTTTATCATCATCATCATCATCAACATCAACATGTCCAGCGCGTTTATTATCCGGTAGATCGATTGGATCGATCGATCGATTTTTTTCACTCTCACTCTCACTCTCTTTCACCATCATCCACTGGAACCAGAATGAACAACAACAACAACAACAAAAAAAACACAAAAATTTCATTCAACAAATTGATCGATTACTTTGATTTTTCTTTTTCATCTTTTTTTTTTGTTTTTGCATCCATTCATTCTTTTCACAACATACGTATACAATACCTCGATGATGATCGGAACAATAAAAATATAAAAAAAAACAATCAAATGGACATTTGGATTGGAGAAGATAACAAAAAACTGCAATGCTATGGTTACGATGATGATGATGATGATCGAGATGAAAAAAAAAATTTTACAACAATCATCACACACACACACAATGGATATCCAATTTCCAATCAATTTTTCAATATCTGATTCTGATCAATTTAATTTCATTTGTTGTTGTTGTTGTTGTTGAAAACCTCGTAAACTTTGTAATTCGTTCAATTCATTTATTGTATAAATTGGAATAAAAATGAATGAATGAGTTAAAAAAATGGCCAAAAACAACCAACCAACCAACCAACCAACCAGCCAGCCAGCCAGCCAGCCACCATCCATTATACTATGCAGAATTATTGATTAAATTCACCATAAATCTGCAATTACTTTATAATAATGAAATAAGAATAGATACAAATACAAACAAATCGTGAAACATAGTTCAATAATAATAAGAACAAATTATTTTGTGAGATCAATGGCATGGAACATACAATAGTTAATAATTCTCTAAAACAGAATGAAATTGTAATAAGAAAAATCAAGCAATTTTGAAACTGCTTCACAAATCCAGCAAATATGTACTTGGCATGGATGTTGTGCTCAAACTATGGAAACAGAACTATAATATTTAGGGGTAAAAAGATGTCGGTATATCTTCATATGATGAAACCATTATATAATCATTTACGTATTATTACATGTGTAGCGTATCATCAGCGAACAAAACATCTTCGTACAAAATTAGAACATCAGAATCATAGCAGCACATTACTGATCACACGGGTAAATTTCATCAAGAATTAATCAATTACGATTTGAAATTGAAATAAATGATTCATATCACCTCCATTCATGTGCTCAGTATCATCGAACAAATAAACAAAAAAATTTCGTAACCGTAAACGGTGTGTGTATCATCACTACTTTCACATCACTCATTATCTATCATCATCATTATCTTTAAAAATACACGAACCTCTATCTTTACGGCAAATTTTTCAATTCACATTTGAGTTTTTCTCAGTTTTTTGGCCGTGTGTGTTTGTGTTCATCGTAGAGAAAACAAGAGAAAAAAAAAAAATCAATCAGAAGAAAATTGATTCTCAGTCCATGATGATGATGAATGATATTTATGAATGGCCAATTATATCATCATCATCATCATCACCAACATTATAAATCGGTACTGATTACCGGCTTTGTTTTGAAATTATTTTCTGTCTGCTTGTTCTAATTTCATTTTAATTTCAAGTTATACAAAGTCCATACTATCATCATCAAGTTCAGTTCAAGCCCGGTAATTTTGGTGAACTATGAAATAATGATCATCATGATGATGATGATGTTGAAACTGGAACTGGAACTGGAACTAGAACAACCATTTGGAGTAGTAGTAGTAGCAGTAGCAAAAAATAGAAAAACTCATCATCTTCATCATCATTATTTAATTCCACTACATCAAATCAACTTTTTCTCTGTCTCTCTCTCTCTTTCTCTCTCATTGCACTATATTACAAGTATGAAATGGATCGAAAATGTTTCCATTGGGAATTGACAATTGCCATCATCGTCATCATCATCATCATCATCAACCATGTGAATCATTCGCATCATCAACGTCAATGTTATGATTCAAGATAAAGAAAACATTCATTTCAGGTCCATTTTGTTGTTGTTGTTGTTGTTGTTGTTATTTTTCACTGAAGACGAACAAAAAGAAAAAAGAGAGAAAACAAATTCTGCATTGGCCAGTTTTTGATATTGATAAAAGTCAATGATGATGATGATGATAATGTTGTCGATGATGATGATGATGATGAAAAGTGGGTTTGTTTTTGTTTTGTTTTTTAGGAACAAAACTTGAAAATATACGATTCTCCAGAGAAAGAGTATACATACTTTGTTGTTTATGGCAAGTTTACAAAAGTCTCAAGTTTACAACAACAACAACAAAAAAAAAAATGATGGGCGTTTCAGTTGATTTTGATTTTCATGGATTCTTAATTACCAATGATGAATGTGAATCCTTTAAATATCAATTTTTTTTTTTTCCAACTTGGGTAACTTTCTGGGAATCGGTAAAAAAAAATCTTCTCGATTCCCATTTCATATTATTATTATTATTATTATCAGGAATCGTAATTTTTGAAAAAAAAAAATTTTTTCTCGTTGTTCTTTTTGTTGTTCTCATAGAAAAACGGCCTACCACACACACACACGCCACTTTATTATTATTATTGTTGGGCTTGATACACATGTAGCATCGTATTGATTGTGTATGTAGCAAGCGGTAAATAAAAATGAAAATTTGCCAATTCCATGACTCTCTGTGTGTGATGTTTGTCGATATTTTTGTTGTTGTTGTTGTTGTTCGAATTGAATTTTTATATTTTGTTGTTGTTGTTGTTGTTGTTGTTTTTTTCATGAATTTCATTCTGTGTCTGTGTGCATGTGTGTATGCAGAATGAAAAAAAAAAAAACCAACGGGAGTTCATTTAGAAAATTGGATATTTTCACTACGATGAAAATTCATTGGAAACCTTTCTCTCTCTCTCTCTCGCTTTATTGGAACCAAAGTTTTTTTTTATTTTAGAATTTTGGAATTCATTTCAATAAACATGTTCAATTCAATTCAATTCAAATTTTTTTTTTATTATTGGTGGAGAAAAAAAAAAAAAAACGATGAATATAAAACCACAGGAGATGAATGGGTGAAAAAAAAGAATCCACATGGACCACAGCAACCGACAATGAAATTGGTTTTTGAACCAAGAAAAAAAAACAACAAAAATCGGAAACGGAAAAAGTAAAGTTAAACAATTTGATTTAGGAGTAGACACACACACAAACAGTGTGTTTGTGGTCAAATATTGACCCAGAAATATAATAATAAAAGTTTAATTTGGTAAATCCATACACTGTTGACTAGGAATTGAAAATTGAATTTTTTCTTCTTTTTTTTTGTTTTGTTTGTTATTGGACAACTAAATTAAAACCAAAATGATGGACAATGTTATGGAATGTTCAGACGGATTTCGAACAATAAAAAAAAATTAAACTCTCATTGAATGATGGAATTCTGGAAAAAAACGAATCGAATCTAATCGAATCGAAACGGAATGGAAATGGAAATGGAATGAAACCCGAAATTCCAGCCAAAACATTCCAATGATAATCAACGACAACAGTCGAACGAACAAACAAAAAATCAATCGTCAAATTGCAGAAAAACAAAACAAAACAAAACACAAAAAAAAAACGAAATTGTAAACGACGATGGCAAACAAAAACAAATTATTTCATTGTGTTTCACACACGGACTCCAGCAGTTTGAATATCGAATTTCACCAGAAGGGTTTCCCGACAACAACAACATTTTCCAACGGCCAATAGATTTTACACACACACACACACACACACACGGGTTACGAACGAAAAAAAGCCAACAAGCCAGCAGCCAAGAATAAATTTATTTCATCTAAATTTCTATTTCAATTTTAGTTTTTTTTTTCATTTTAAAATTCTTGTTTCCTATGACTATCGATTGTATCGTTGTCACCATCATCATCGTTTTGTTGTTCATCATTAGTGAGACGAAAACTTTGTAAAACATTGAATCGTACCTGTAATTGTTGTCGTTTTGTCCATGAAATGTGGCCATTTTCATTCCAAAGAATTGATTTCAATCTTTCATGTTGATCGTCGTACACTTTTGCACTATTTCCATCGCCACCACCATCACTATGTTTTTGTCCATATTTCATCCAGAAAATATATTGATTCAATTGTTTCCAACCATATAGATTATCATCATTATTTAATTTTTGTTTTGCCATCATTTTCATTTTATCGATAATACGATTCTGTTCATCAAATGTTCCATTGTTTAATGTGTGAACAAATTCCGTGGCCACACGATCTAAATATTCTGTACAATTTGGCAACAATAATCTTATTGTAGTATATTGTCTTAAAAATAACCGTAATCTTGTTGGATCCAAAATAATTTTATCCGGTTGATAGCGATTACTTTGATTTCGTTGTACTGGATATTCAATTGGTTTGATTGTTTTAAATTTTTCAACATTAAATTGTTCGGCATTTATAAATAAACGAATAGCTGGAAATTGTTTCTTTTCAATGCCATATCTATTCACTAGATCCATACATTGATGATCGTCAAAATCTTTAACTTCAAGATTAATAAATATGATATCTTCACGACCAGTGTTATTCATTGTATCCAATGCTAATTGATTGAAAACATCTTGATTCGATCCATAAGCATAAAGATGATCAAATTTTACCAATACATAATGGAAACGAGATGCAATCTGGTGTTTGGAAATGAAAATAGAAATGGATTTCAAATTGATGAATCAAATTGATTAAACGCATTCGATGATATTCATACCAAATCGAATGTTAATTGATCCGATTCAATAACGCCCAAATAATGTTGACCACAACATTGATCCACTGCGATGATCATCGATAACATCAATGAAAACCAAATCAATTGTTTCATCATCATCATAATACTGAAAAAATTGAAGAAAGTAGAAAAAAAACCGACCAAATCAAATCGGCAGTCGAACCAAAAATGAGCTCATCAGGTCATTCGCCAGTAATTGACAATTTGATTCTATCCAATTCTCATTTTTTATTTGTATATGGCTCATGTGCCGCAAACACACAATGAAGAATCGCATAAGCCAGATAAACAAAGAATCGAAAACAAAACCTACACCTGCATTCGTATTACTAGATCCAATTTAATGATTAATAAACAAAACAGGTAAATAAACACAAAGGCTATACTTTAATGAATTATACACACACAATGAGCAGATAAAGTAAACATTTTTATTCTGAAACTGGTGAATTTCAAAAATAAAATCGTTAGAAAAACGAAAAAAATTTCCAATTACTTTATACACATTACGTACGCATTATTTTATTTTTTATTTTTTTTTTTTTGATTTTGGATTTCTGTTTTGGGTACAGAAAACAATTGGAAAGAATTGCTGAAACAAAACTTACGGAATGTCCATTGAAAAGTTGCACTCGATGATGATGACGATGATCTGATTAAATCAATTGTCATTATCGTTGCCATGGACAATTTTAAAATTTCAAGTGTTTTTTGGCATGTTTTTTTTAAAAATAAAATTTTATCAGTTTTTTTCAAGTTTTAAATTTAAAAATTAAAATCATATCGATGCTAATACGATAATTGAATCATTCTCGACATTTGAATTATCAAAAAAAAAAAAAAAAAAAAAAAAAATTTTTTTCGATGGCATAACCAATTGGGTTTGTTTACAGTGGTGATGAACGAATCAAATTTTTTTTTTTTCATTCCCAAGGTCCTGTTTAATCAGATTGCATTAAAATTTGGTCATGTACCCATCTAACAATCACATATTAATTATTGGACACTTGAGATAATTATTTTAATTTTTTTTGCGTTGATAATAAGGATAAAATCAAACATTCGATTGATTCATTGATCAATTGAATAATGGATATAAATATGGATCATTAGAAATTTCATTTAGTTCAATTGTTTCAATAATTTTTGTTTTTCTACTCATTTTGCCATTGTGTTTTATTTAATCTATTTATCTACCATTGAAAAAAGTGATAAAGAGAAAATGTTGAAATTTTTTTTATTTTTATTCATTAGCAGCATCGTTTTTGTATCATCGGCCAATGCTGAAGATACAGCAATCGATTATCGTGAATTAATAAAATGTCCTGAAAATCAAGATTCTACCCGCTATCTACGTAATCCATATGATTGTAGTAGTTTTTATCGTTGTCATGTTGAAGATGGCAAACGATTAGCTATCTGGAATTGTCCAAATGGCCAATATTTTGATGAAGATCCAAATGTACAAACCTGTATTCGTATTAATGATTATTTGGCTAAATATCATGAATGTAAAACAATCCAAAAACCGACCCAGCGACCAACACAAAAGTCAACACAACGACCAACCCAAAAACCGATAACCAAAAGACCACATCATCATGATTATCATAATAATTTTGATATATGGAAAAAAATTATGGACAAAATGGTTCACGATCTTTTTAATAAAAATGATTACCTTCAACATGAAAAGTATGATGCTGGTGACGATGATGATGATGATGATGACGATGATGACGATGATGATGATGATGATGATGATGATGATGATGATGATGATGATGATGACGATGATGATGATGATGATGACGATGATGATGATGATGATGATGATGATGATGATGATGATGATGATGATGATGATGATGATGATGATGATGATGATGATGATGATGATGATGATGATGATGATGATGATGATGATGATGATGATGATGATGATGATGATGATGATGATGATGATGATGATGATGATGATGATGATGATGATGATGATGATGATGATGATGATGATGATGATGATGACGATGACGATGACGATGATGATGATGACGATGACGATGATGATGATGATGATGATGACGATGATGACGATGATGATGACGATGATGATGATGACGATAATAACAAACAGAATCATAATCAAACAAATCCAATTTTATCCAAATTGTGAAAAAAAATCAAAGAATTATCTTGATCGTAAATATTGAGAATATGAAGATCATCATCATCACGATGGTTAAACATGATTTAAACATTGAATAAAAAATCCGAAATTTGAATTAATTAATTGAAATAAAATTTTTTTTTATAAATAAAAATCATAGAAAATCATAGAATTTTGCTAAGCAGACTTTCTACCATTGAAATACATCACCAAAAATCATCATAAATCGTAATCAATCAAACAAAGGTATCGGTGATACCTTGTTGAACCAAATACTTCCATCGGTTGTATAAAGTGGCCAAATTGTATTGTAAATCAAAATTATGCTTTAAATTTGGAAATTTAAAATTCAAAACAAATTGACATTCGACCAAGTCATATATAAAACCGGATAACCAATCGATTGTTTTTTTCGTTTTTGTTTATTCAATATCTATTAAAACCAGTTTTATTAGTTGTCATCATCAATATATAATCAAAATCAATCAATTAATTACAAATTACAAAAACAAAAAAAAAATGACAAATGAAAATGAATTATAATGACCATGATGATGATGATAAAATATTAAGCAATAAATTCAATAATCAATAAATCAATCGATCCATACATTGATGATCATCAAAATCTTTAACTTCAAGATTGATAAATATGACATCTTCACGACCAGTGTTATTCATTGTATCCAATGCTAATTGATTAAAAACATCTTGATTCGGTCCATAAGCATAAAGATGATCAAATTTTACCAATAAATAATGGAACCGTAATGCAATCTGGTGTTTGGAAATGAAAATAAAAATGGATTTCCAATTGATGAATCAAATTGATTAAACGCATTTTGATCATATCCATACCAAATCAAATGTTAATTGATCCGATTCAATAACGCCCAAATAATGTTGACCACAACATTGATCCACTGCGATGATCATTGATAATATCAATGAAAACCAAATCTATTGTTTCATCATCATCATTATATTGAAAAATCCGACCAAATCCATTCGACAGTCGAACCAAAAATGAACTCATCAGGTCATTCGCCAGTAATTGACAATTTGATTCTATCCAATTCTCCAAAACAAAACAAAAAAACCTACACCTGCATTCGTATTACTGGACCGAATTTAATGATTACACACACACAATGAGCAGATAAAGTAAACATTCATAAACTGGCGAATTTCAAATAAAAAAAATCGTTAGAAAAACGAAAAAAATTTCCAATTACTTTATACATATTACATACGCATTAACTTTTTTTAATTTTGGATTTCTGTTTTTTTAGTGGTTCAGAAAACAGTTGGAAAAAAAATCCTGAAACAAAAACGTACGAAATGTCAATTGAAAAGTCACACTCGATGATGATGATCTGATTAAATACAATTGCCATTGTCGTTGCCATGGACAATTTTATAATTTCAAGTGTTTTTCGGTTTGCTTTTTCTTTTTTTTATCATTTTTTTTTAAATTTTAACTTTCCAATGAAAATCATATTGATGATAATTACAATAATCGAATCATTATTGACATTCTTTAAAATTTTCAAGAAAAAAAGTCGGTTTTTTCGATGGCATAACCACCATTTGGGTTTGTTTACATTGGTGATGAACGAATCAAATTTTTTTTGTTTCCATTGTCAAGATCCTGTATGATCGAATGAATTATCATCAGATTGCAGTACAATTTGGTCATGTTCCCATCTCATAATCACATATTATTTATTGGATACTTGAGATAATAATTTTGATTACTGTTTTTTTTTGTTGGTAATAGGAAAAATGATAAAATCAAACATCCGATTGATTCCATTGATCGATTGAATAATGGATATAAATATGGATCATTTGAAATTTCATTTGTTTCAATTGTTGTTTTTTTTACTCATTTTGTCATTGTTTTTTAATCTTTGCCCATTGAAAATAGTGAGAAAATGTTGAAATTTTTTTTTTTTATTCATTAGCAGCATCGTTATTGTATCATCGGCCAATGCTGAAGATGCAGCAATCGATTATCGTCAATTTATAAAATGTCCTGAACATCCAGATTCTTCCCGTTATCTACGTAATCCATATGATTGTAGTAGTTTTTATCGTTGTTATGTTGAAAATGGCATACGATTAGCTATTTGGAATTGTCCAAATGACCAATATTTTGATGAAGATCCAAATGTACAAACCTGTATTCGTATAAATGATTATTTGGCTAAATATCATGAATGTAAAACAATTCCATTGCCAACTGCTCGGCCACCAACACAGCGACCAACTGAACGTCCGACGGAAAAACCAACCGAAAAACCAACACAACGACCAACTGAACGTCCGACGGAAAAACCAACACAACGACCAACTGAACGTCCGACGGAAAACCAACCGAAAAACCAACACAACGACCAACTGAACGTCCGACGGAAAAACCAACCGAAAAACCAACACAACGACCAACTGAACGTCCGACGGAAAAACCAACCGAAAAACCAACACAACGACCAACCGAAAACCAACACCAACTGAACCCGACGGCGACCAACCGAACCCACCACAACGACCAACCCAAAGCCAACACACAACGACCAACCCAAAACCAACACAGCGACCCAACCAACAACCAACAAAACAACCACCACAACACGACCAACCGAAAACCAACACAAAAAAACCAACCGACACAGCGACCAACCCAAAAACCGACCCAGCGACCAACCCAAAAACCGACCCAGCGACCAACACAAAAACCGACCCAGCGACCAACACAAAAACCGACCCAGCGACCAACACAAAAACCGACAAAACGACCAACACAAAAACCAACACAACGACCAACCCAAAGGCCAACACAAAAACCGACACGACGACCGACAAAGCGACCAACCCAAAAACCGACCCAGCGACCAACACAAAAACCGACACGACGACCGACAAAGCGACCAACCCAGCGACCAACACAGCGACCAACCCAAAAACCGACAACCAAAAGACCACATCATCATGATTATCATGATTATTTTGATATATGGAGACGAATTATGGACAATATAATTCACGATTATTTTCATAATCATCATGATTACCATCAACATGATCACAATAAGCATGAAAAGCACCATCATCAACATGATGACGATAATGATTACCATAAGCATGAAAAGCACCATCATCAACATGATGACGATAATGATTACCATAAGCATGAAAATCATCATCATCATCATGAATACCATGAACACGATAATCACCATCAAAAACATCACCATAATGATCATCATGAAAAAAATCCAATGTTATCATTGATAACTTCCGAAGTAGAAGAAGAAGAATCCATGATTCAATTACAAGAAAATTTTTACAAAATTATTGCCCAACAACAAATGAATTCAACAGTTGATTATAGAAAATTAATACATTGTCCATCGAACCCAAGTGGCCGTCGATTACGTAATCCATATGATTGTAATCGATTTTATCTTTGTTATAAACAAGGTGATCAAGTTCGATTAGCACTATATAATTGTCCGCATGGTACATTTTTTGATGACACACCAACCGTACAGAATTGTATTCTTCGTAGTGATTATGAAGAACGATATGGCCAATGTAAAACATTACCATTACCACATGATGATGATGATGATAATAATAATAGTTTGGCAGAAATAATGAAAAAAATTGTGAAAAAAATCAAAGATTATCTTGATCGTAAATATCGAGAATATGAAGAACATCATCATCATCACGATGGTTAAATTATAATTAATTAAAATGAAATTTTTCTAAATTAAAAAACTTTTCTTTTTGTGGAATCATTGCGCGAATGAATGGATAAAAAAATTTTTATTTTTTGGAGATGATGGGATTTGAACCCATGACTTTCTGCAGAATCGGTGATTCTAAATTTTTTTTAAAATTCTTCATCATTTATTGATTCTACACAATCCAGAATTTTTTTTAATTCCGAATTAGTAGAAAATGTGAATCATTTCAAATTTCAAATCAAGAATCATAGAATTTTGCGAAGCAGACAATCTACCACTGATTTACATCCCCCAAAATAAAAATTCTTAAATGTAATGGTAAAACGCGTAAGTTAATCAACAAATTACCTTGTTGAACCAAATACGCCCATCAGATGAGCAAAATAGCCAAATTGGATTGTCAATCAAAATGATGATTTTAACCCTCCGTTGGTGAAGTGGGGTTAAATGATGTGAAAATTTCAAATTCACATTCGACACCATCAAAAAACGAATAACCAATCGATTTTTGTTATCGTTTGTTCAATATATCTATTAAAACCAGTTTTATTAATAGTTGTCATCATCAATATATAATCAAAATCAATCAATTAATTACAAATTACAAAAAAAAAAAATCAAATGACAAATGAAAATGAATTATAATATGACCATGATGATGATGATGAAATATTAAGCAATAAATCGATCGATCGTAATTGTACAAAAAAAAAAATGAAAACTTTAAACTATGATTCCTACATTGCACCAACAACAATTGTTTGTTTTCATTGATTTTGTACTCCCATTAATTTTTGATGATAAATAAGGCAGATCAATTTTTTTTCATGTTAGTAAAAATTATTGCAAAAAATGTGATAAAATGAAAACAAACATTGTTTTCACATCTATCAATAGATGGCACACTATTTTGTTGTACTTCAAATGTTTTTTTATTTTGAATTTTGAAACGACCACGTTTGGTTGGGGATGGTGATTGATGCAATTTATGATGATGTAATTGATGATTATGGAAATGATGATAGATTAAAGTATGGTACGATGATCATTTGAATGGATTTGAATTATGAAATGCGTCTGTTGGTGTTGATTTCTAATCATTTTTTTTCGGCCAAATCTAAATCAGTGTGTGTGTGTGTGTAGGCGTATGTTATGAATTATTATTATTATTGCAGTTATTATTGCTCATGGTGGTAATACTATTATCCATTTCAATTGTTGTTGACGATGATGATGATGATGAAGATGATGGTGGTGATGTTGCCAAACAATTTGATTCAATTACAGGTGCTACTGCTACTGCTGCTGGTGGTGGTGGTGGTGTTTGTGTTTCATTCACTAGTTCTGAATCAAGCACGTATTTGGCAAAATCCGATATATCACTATTTTGATATGTTTTTAAAAAATCAAATTCTAACAATTGTAAATAATTTGGCCTTTGTTGGTGATCTTTTTCCAAACATTTAGCTATTAGATGATGAAATTGTTGTGAATATCGTCCTTGTGGTAATTTTGGTGGATCATCTTCATAAACGGATTTTATTTGCTTGAATAGATCATTGGTTGGATATGGAAATTTTCCTGTTGCTATTTCGAATAATGTTAAGCCTGTGTGTGAAAAAAAATTTCAGATTACAAATTCATTCATTCACTCATTTTTTGTGAAACAAACCTAAACTCCATACATCTGAACGTATATCGTAGCCTTTTTGATTTGGTACAAGCCTTTCTGGTGCCATATATGCTTTACAGCCAGCTTCAAATGTTTTGGCCACCGAATCCACTAGATAACCGGAGATGCCAAAATCACATAATTTTATTTGTCCATGACGATTTATCAATATGTTTGATGGTTTAATATCACGATGTATGACACGCATTTGATGTAGATAATGAAGTGCGGATACCACTGAATATGCTGTACGTCCCAGTACTGGTTCCGGTATTGCATTTGTATGATCATTTTGTTGGCCATCATTATTATTATTATTAGATATTAATTTATATGCTAATTTATAGAATTTATCCAACGATGCATCCAATATTTCCATGAATAAACAGAGATTATTTTCCCAATATATTGCGCCATAAAATTCGCTATAAAAAAAACAAAATGGGAAAAAAATGAACAAAATTAACAGATAATATATAAATTCACACACTTACACTATATGTGGACAGCCCTGTGATTTGACCAATACATCCATATCACGAAATAAACGATCCTGATCGGATACTTTTGATGCACATATACGCTAATTTATGGGGTATAAAAAAAATTGATGTCATTAAACACAACGATAAACCAAAAAAAAAATTCATGAAAATTCTTACTTTGACAGCCAATTGAATACCGGATGGTTCATGTTCAATCAATTCAACGAAACCATATGCACCATGGCCCAATTGTTTTACTGGTTTCGTATTTTCTGGATCAATTTCAATTGTTGTACCATTGATACGAATTTTTGTTGATCGTTTTAAATTTGATGTTGGCGGTGGTTGTACCAATGGTGGATCATCAGGTGGTACAATTAGATTCATGTTTGCTAAAAAAATGAATTTTTCAGCAAAAAAAAAATCAAAAACAAATTATCAAAACACACACACACTTACGAAATTTTCGATTAACTTTCGGCATTTTTGTCAAATTTCACTTGCAGCTAGAAACCAGGATATTATAAACACGATGATGATGATTCTGATTTCTTTTCTTCTGTTTTTTTTGTTGTCGTTATTTCTCTGTGTGTTTTGTTTTGTTTTTTTTTGCTGATTATCAACTTATATTTCACACATTACACACAAAATTGGTGATAACAAATGTGACAACAATAATCAACAGTTCAAACACAGTAACAGTAAAAAGGGTTCATTTACAGTAAAACAGATTGTTGATACGTAGACTGTTTTTTTCCAGTTGTTGTTGTTGTTGTTGTTGAGAGAAATAACGAGAAAAACCTGTCGTAATAATTGGTGAAAAAAAAGAGAAAAAAAATAAAAATAAAAATTATGCCAACAAACCATCATCATCACTTGGATTTGATTTGAAAATTTTCTCTCATTTTCATTTTAAATGGTCAAAAATTCATCTCTCTCTCCACATGAGATTGAAATACGCACACACACACACGAATATTCATGCATGAATATTCGTGTATGGAATGGAATTTTGCACATTCCTAAACAAATTTCTCATCATCAACATCATCATTTTTTTTTATTCTATAAATAGAAATTCTCTCTCTTTTACAAGAGAATTTTTAGCATCATATTCATGATCGAAATATCATGGAAAAAATTAGAAACAAATTCATCACACACACACACACACACACAACATGAATATGAATTTTGTAGCGATGACAAGCAACCATTAATGGGGCACCATTTACCATTTGTTTGATTGATTGAATTAATCGATCGAGATCAAATTGTGGAATGTGTTTATTGTTTTCATTCACAGTGACAAAACAAAACAAAATAACAAAACAAAAAAACAGATGGGCAGTCTGGTGTTTTTTCTCTATTTTCATTGAACAAAAAAAAACACCAAAAACACCAACACACACACACACATATAACCTGTTTTTTTATTTATTTATTTATAACTAATGACGATGATGATGGTAGTTTTTTTTATTTTTATTTTTATTTGTTTGTTTATCATTCAAACAACAAGTGTTGAGTTGTGTGTGTGTGTGCGACACACAAGGACTAATTAATTTTTTTTTCTACATTCCAAGACCAGGATTCCATTTTTAGGTTTTTTACTTTCATGAATGAATGAATTACTTACCTGGATTGGAATTTTTTTTTACTGATAAACAGTAAATGTTCACGTTTTAATAAAAAAAAACTCGATGAATTTTAAATTGGCAAAAACCAGTGAATTACAAGCATACAAATATGATTCAGGTGAAATTAACGGTTGCTCGGCGGTAACACACGCACACAAACAAAACAAAAACAAAAGAACCAGAATTGAATTCGAAACAAAACATACACACTCACACACACACACACGATGGTTTAGTTCCAGTAATGGTAAAGAAACAAATTCTGGAAAGAATTCTGAAGGGGATATAGCGGTGAATCCAAAAAAAAAATTAAATGTGAATGTGATATATATGAGAATCGAATCAATTATTGGTCACTTGTCAATTGTATTATTCTTGTCAATATGCTGTTAAATGGAATACCCACAAATATCGGATGATGATGATGATAAATTAGTAGTAGTAGCAGTAGTATTAGTTGTAGAAGACAAAGAATTTATGAAATAAAAACAAACGAACCATCATCAAAAGCAGAACAAAAAAAAACAAGAATAACCGATCAACTTATACTAACCGAATCATATAACAACAACGATAATAGAGCAGCAGCAGCAAAACAAAACAAAAACAAAATAAATCCTGATGTACTCGTACACGCCGACGATCTAACCATGTATACAATGTTCACAGCAACAAAAAAAAAATCTGTAGTAGAAGTATCATTGAGTATATGCCCAACAAACAACAAAAAAATGATGATGATTATCAACGGCCACGACGACGACTACTTCGACGACGACGATGATGATAGAGATTTACATTCAAAATTCGAACGTTTTAGTTTTCGAATATTTTACTTACACATACGAAAATTCATTGAAACTTTTTTGTTTTTCAATGATGATCATCTGATGAAACAACAACGACGACGACCACGACAAAAAATCTTAAATACAGTCTCTCTGGTTCATTAAAAAAAATCATCATCTTATTTATCCTTGTCGTTGTAGTTGTTGGTGTTAGTATTTAATTTGATGATGGTGATAATCGATGATTGTAGTAGTGGCATAATAAATTGTCCAATATGCTCATATCCAAGGATACAGACAAACACAGCTGTGTATGTTTTTGATGGTGATTTGATGTCCTCGAGATATTTTTTTTTACTGGATATATATAGTGTGTGTACGTAGAGAGAGAGAAAAAGATTCTACTTTTATTGGAAAGTCTGGCGCCATTGTCAATTTTATAGCACTTTTTTCTTCACTTGTATATTGGTTGCCGTGATGATAATGATGACGACAATAACCGAACGATGAGAAAAAAAACTGCCGTTTTTTTCGGTCTTCATTGGTGATGATAATGGCTTTTTTTTCCACTGCTAAATGTCAATGCCAATTTTTATTCTGATGTTGATGATAGCCATATATTGTGGTGCTGTAGTAGTTGTTGATTGATGGATCGAATCGATTATCGAATAAAGATTGATTAATGATTGAATAATGATTTTCAATTTGTTCGTTTCAATTCAATTTGATTTGATTTGATTCGGTGAAAAATTCCATTTTTTCTCGGTTTTGATGAAAAATTTTTTTGAAAAAAAAAAAAAATTCGTTCAACTACTTTCACGGATAGATGGCGATAATTTAGTTATTTGATTTTTTTATTCGATTTGAGAATTCTTTTTTTTTTGGACCAATCAATCGTGATTTTGAAAATGGCAATAAAATCGTTAGAAAAAAAATCAATAATCTTGATCGAATTGATTGGTCGAATATTGTTTTCTCTATACAACGTTCGTTTAGAATGTCAACAAATAATTGTAATCGATTACAATCATCATCGAACGATAAATCGATTAAATCCACCAGCAACAAAAGCAAAAGATCATCAACATCATCGAATATAGCCGTATTGACCAGTGGTGGTGATTGTCAAGGAATGAATAGTGTGTTATATGGTTTAACATGTCATCATATTGATACGATTATGGCCACTAATAATTCCAATGATAAAACAGAATTATATTTGGTTTATAATGGTTACCAAGGACTAATCGATGGATCTTCACGATCGATTATAAGCGCTAATTTAAAAATTTTACATCGCCATCTTTATCAAGGCGGCACAATAATAAATTCATCACGTTGTCGTGAATTCTATCATCAAGATGGTCGTCGTAAAGCAGCATATAATCTATTGCGATTGAATATACAAAATCTTATTATTATCGGTGGTGATGGTAGTCTTACCGGTGCAAATCATCTACGCCGTGAATGGCCACAATTTGTTAAGGAATTAATTGATAAAGGTGAATTCGATTCAAAGAATTCAAATAGCCAATTGAATCTAATCGGTATAATTGGATCAATTGATAATGATTTTTTTGGATCTGAAATGACAATCGGTACGGATTCAGCATTGGCACGTGTTGTTGAAAGTATTGATGCGTTAAAAACTACGGCTAAAAGTCATAGCCGTGCCATTGTTGTCGAAGTGATGGGTCGTAATTGTGGTTACCTTGCAATATCGACAGCTTTGGCTACACAAGCATCATATGTATTCATTCCAGAATATCCACATCGATCAACAGATGAATGGCAGAAAAAACTTGCAGCACGATTACAATATGAACGTAATAATGGACAATATTATCATATAGTGATTATTGCTGAAGGTGCATGTGATAATAATGGTGATTCGATAAAATCCAACCAAATAAAAGATTATCTAAATAAAGATTGCAATATTGAAACACGATTAATAATATTGGGACATTTACAACGTGGTGGTTATACTTCTGCTTTCGATCATCTAATGTCAATGTCAATGGGCATCAAGGCATATGATATGATCCGTATGAAAGAAGTGGAACCGACAGCAGCAGAAGAAAAAGAAACAGCAGATGATAAATCTTCTTCGTACGGAATGAAACAGGCAATAATTTTAACATTAAACAATGGCCAAATACAATCCAAACCATTATCCTATTGTATTGATGAGATGGCAAAATTAACACGTTTTGTTCGTGAACGTAATTGGCCAAAAGTAATGGAATATCGTGGTGTAAATTTCATAAATACATGGGAAAATTATCGAAATCTAATGTCGCCACCATCCAAATCAGCATTATCAATATTTGATAGACCAAAATCTTCAACATCAACATCTGGATATTGTTGGGCAATCATGATTTGTTCATCGAATCATAATAGTCCAATGCCTGGTACAAATGGAATCCTGTTTGCATTAGTTCGTTATGGACAAGCACAGAATATAACGGTTATCGGTTATCGTAATGGATTGGAAGGTCTTTATGGTAATGATTATCAACGTTTTGAATGGCAAGATGTTGCCGATATAACATCCATAAGTGGTTCGATAATTGGTTCACAATCACGATCAAGAAAATCCACACCTAGAATTAATGATGAAAATATCGAGAGAATAATTACAAATTTACAAATGAATAAAATCAAATTCTTGTGTTTTGTTGGTGATCATCAAGCATTCGATCATCTACAATCATTGAATGAATATAGAAAACGTTTTGATTATCTATTGGACATGAAACTCTGTTACATACCTGTATCTGCTGTTGATTTTGATATCGACAATGATACAAATTCCAATGATAATGATTCAACAATTGTATGGTCAAAATTAGGACGTGATTCAATGATGAATAAAACCATCCGGTTGATTTGTGATCTAATCTATTCAACACAAGGAACATATAATCAATTGTTTATGATTCGAATCAATCTAGATATGTTATCATCGACAACATTCATCAGATCGAATGAATTTGCAATGGCCGTTGGTGCTGCCATCATTTATCCCAAAGATAAATCAAATCGCATGGAACCACCACTTCATCCAGAATCAATTAAAACCACCGCTATTGAATTACGTGAATCGATTCTGCAAACAAATGAAAATAAATTTGTAATCATGTAAGTAGTATCAATGTGTATAGATATTTGATTGATTGATTGATTTTTTATTCGCCAGACATTATCCATTATGGTCGAAAATTCAATCAATTTTCATGTCAATAATAGCACCATTTAGCGATCGAATACGCTTGAATTCTATTGATATGACAGCAATGCAAATGCCCACACACGCTTCACCGTTTGATCGTAAATTGGGCGTAAAATTGGGCATGGAATGTGGCCGTTATTTTTCCAATGCAAATTTTGAAACTACACCGCTAATGATCAGTACACCATTTTTGTATGAAGCACGACCGATTAAATCACGAATCAGAAAAAGTAAATGAAAATGAAAAAAATGTTTATTAAAATAAATCAGAAAAAATTCAAATTTCAAAATTTTCAAAAAAAAAAAAAAGAAACATAATTCGAAACATCAACCAGCCAACCCAATGTTTCATTGGCAATTTGTTGATCTAACCATTTGAATAATGGTTGAAAATATTCAATCAATGGACCGGCAGTCATTGTTTCGCTGCCAGTCATCAATTTCATTGCTTCAGGCCATCGTACCGATGATCCTAGCCGTAACATTCGTGCTAAATGTTCACCAGCTTTGTGATTGCCATCAATATCACATTGATATAATGGTACATCAGGTTGAGCAATGTCACACAAAGCTTTGTGAAATTGAAATTGTATGATGAACGAAACAAAATAACGAATATATTCCACACCAGCTGGTACATGAAATTTAGCGCCGGCATCAAAATCAGTTTCATTACGACTGATTGGTGGTGATATGCCTTGATAATTGATACGATACCACCACCATTGTTTGTTCATTTTTTCGGCCGGAATTTTTCCACTAAACAAGTCCCAACGATAAGCATCCATTAAATAACCAAAAGGTAAAAATGCCAATTTATCTAGAGCCATTTTTAATTGATAATTTAGTATCATTTCAGGATCATTAGCCATAGAATCATTTTCGGCAAGAAGATTAATTTTTTTCAAATGATTTGGTGTCGATACCGACAATGCTAATAGATCACCAACAGCTTCATGAAAACCAGGATTAGCACCTTCACGAAATGCAACCGGTTGATCTTTGTATTGAAGATAATATTGAATATGACCCATTTCATGGTGGACGGTTATCAAATCTTTCATATTCACTGATGTGCACATTTTTACACGAAAATCTTTCCGGTTATAAAAATCCCATGCTGTTGCATGACATGCCACTTTACGATCCATTGGTTTTGTAAACATTGACAATTGCCAAAATCTGTCGGGCATCGGTATCAATGATAGATCAATGAAAAATTTTTCGGCTAAACGAAACATATCCATAGCTGTATAATTTTGTTCTACCATTGTATCCGTAACATCCAATGATTTACGATTTGGATATGGTGCTACGATATCATAAATATTACCCCATGATTGTGACCACATATTACCAAGGATATGTGCCGGAATGGTACCATCTTTTGGCATACGTTCTTGGCCATAAAATTCCCGTAATCGCATCCGAACATATGCATGTATTTTCTGATAAAATGGCTGTAATTCATTCCAAATATTGGCAACTTGTTGTTTAAAATTTGGTGTTTCCCATGGAAATAGCCAAAGATCATCCAATGTTTTAAAACCATTCACAATAGCAGCTTTATTGCCTAGACGAATATATTCTAGATAACGTTCACGATTTGGCCGTCCAGCTTGTTCACGCCATTTTATCCATACTTCTTTTAATTTTTCATAATCACGTGATCGAGCCATTATTTTCACTAGATCTGGATCCAGATCTAATCCACATTTATCCGCTAAACAAATCGATGCTTGATCATAGGTTTTTGTCAATTCGGTTGTTATATTTGTAAACTATATTTAATAAAAAAAAAATCCAAAAAATTAAATCCAGAATAACCCATTTGTTTGTTTACCAAAACAGAATCTTCTTCATCCAATGCTGGAATACCAAGCACGGAAATCTTTTCAAATTGTCGCCGTAATAATGGATCCTGGAATGTTTTATAATCATAACGGATCGCTTGTTTCCAGATTTCTTTTTGTTCACGATTCAATTTTTTTGTCACTTCAAGCTTCAAAATGGGACCAAACAAAAAAAAAATCAATCAATACACCACCCACCCAATTACAACATTACAACATCACTTACCAAACGAGCCTGATTTGTAGCCGTAATATTTGTGCTGAAATTAAAATTTGCTTCAACAATTTCATAATTTAATTCTTCCATACGTCGATCAAATTCGAGCATAAATTCACGGCCTTTATCTTCATCCGCAATCAATTCATCTGTGTTTATAATTCTACTTTCAAATGTTGTCGTTGGCTCATCAGTTGCCGCAGTCGTCGATGAAATTGGTATCTCTTCTTCGCCATTTGCGAATTTGCCAATTAATGTCGATAATAATAATAAAAACAGTGGCAAACGAATCACCGATAAACGAATCGATGTCATGTTGTACACACTGAAAAATCAAAACAAAAAACAAAACAAACTCGAATAGAACGAAAAAAAATTTCAGTGGTGACAAAGTTTTGAAAAGTTTGATGTGCGGCAACAAAAACAAAACAACACCTGAAGCTCTTGATGAAATGGAATTTTTTTTTTTTTTCAATTTAACTTTGGTTTCAATTTAACGAAAACCGAAAAAATAAAATTCACTTTCAATTCATAATAGTGGTGGTGGTGGTTTTTATTTTTTTTTTTTTTTTACTAGCAGTAGCAGCAACAACAGCCGATATTTCGATTGATTGTCGTCCAGTTTCCAGTTTGTTTGTTTTTTTTTTTTTTCGAAATTCACCTTCAAAAAAACATGAATTTTTTTTCGGTTGATTCTTATCAAATTTGATGATAATCTCTCTCTCTCTCTCTCTGTCGTTTGTTTGTTTTTTTTGTTGTAGTTGTTGGAATAAAACATCCAATGACCTTGACGATTATTTTTTTGTTTTGTTTTTGGCTGAAAGAATTTTTTATATCTTCTAATCAAGTTTATTGTCGTCAAGGTTATTATCAAAAATAAAAAGGCCACTGACCAGAAAACTTGATGCCTTGATGCTTAAATTGCTAATTTTTGACCATGCTGTTGATAATGATGATGATGGTGTCAATTACCTTTTTTTTCTAAATTCAACACACATTCTTCTACATATGGAATTTATTGTCTGACTATTGAACTTTATTAGTAGTAGGTGTAAAAAACATAAATCCCACACACACACACACACAGACACAGTCAGAGACAGAGACGCACAAATAATTTCACCAAAGTGAATCGATGAAAATGGCTTGCGATTTTTGGACTTTTATAAAGAAAACAAAAATTTTTTGTCTTTGCCCTTGCTTTGGACTTTGGTTGAAATTAATTTTTGCGCAAAAAAAAATCTGGTTGATAATTAAATTTTTGAATAAATAAAACGACGATGATGATGATGATGATGATTTGGCTAAAAAAGAAATGGAAAATATTCAATTACAATCATGATCATCATTATCATTTTGGATTTGATTGGAAAATTTTTTTTTTTTTTGCCCATAACCGGTTTGAACTTGAAAATGAAATTTTTAACTTTCAATCGCACACACACACACACACAGACAGACAGACATACGTAATCCATAGAATACCGGAAATATACAGAACAGCTGATTAAATAAACATACAGTTACAACCATACACACACACACACACACACACACAATTTTGTCGTTGGTGTTGCTAAAAATAGAATTTCATTCGTTCGTTCATTCATTGAAAATTTGTGGCCTTTTTTTTTTGTTTGTTTGTTTGTTTGTTGCCTATTATGCAAATAAACCAAACCAAACCGATGAAAAATTGCTGAAAACTTTTTTTTGTCATTTTAAGAGAGAAAGAAAAATTCTTTCAATGTCGTTTTTTTTTCTCATCACTAAATTACCAACCAACCAACTGATGAAGATGCTCTGCATTTCGAGGTCATTTTTTTTAAATTTAGCATCAAATTAAATTTAATTTTCTTTTGGGAAATTGCCACTGTGTGTGTGTGTGTGTGTCCCAAATTTGTTCCATCATCATCATCATCATGTGGCACATATTTAAAATACTTGAGCGTTTTTTTTTGTTTTGTTTTGTTTTCATCCTGCCAAAGCAAAAGTAAAGAAAAGAAAAACAAAAGAGAAACGGATGCAAAATTAGCAAAAAAAAAAAATGGAGAGAGAACCAAGTTTTTTTTCACCCAAAAAAAAAAAAAACAGAGAGAAAAAGAACGAAAAAAAATTTGGTTTCCATATTTATAATTCCATACCTGTGTGGTGTATATTATTATGTAATAGATGACCAACCACATAGTACATACACAAATTACAAATTTTTTTGAACATGCGTAAATCGAATAATCATTATTCTGTGAAAATTCTGTGAAAATTAAAAAAAAAAAACGGTAAGGTGACATCATCATTTCCGTATTACGTTTGTTTGTTTTTCGGTTTTCATTCATATATTCTCAATTTTGTGTCATCATCATCATCATCAGTGAAAAAAAAAAAATGTCAAAAAATCCTTTCATTCCAAAAGGTGTGTGTGTGTGTGTTCGTGTTTAATTATTGCTAGATAGATTCATGGCCATTCTCATGTTTCAAAATCGCTGTTTTTTCTGTTTTGATTGTGAATAAAAGGCATAAATGCAAAATAAACAGCCACACACACACACAAAAACTGCATCAATAACAACAACAACAAAAAATAATTTGCATCAAAAATAATAAACACAATGTGTTTATAAATGTGGAATGGTTGTTGAAACAATAATTTTCCACAACAACAACAACAACAACAACAACAACGACCACAAGGTTTTCATTTTCATTTACATTTGTGAATGTGATTTGAATCACATGTGTGTGTGATCATGAAACATTCGAATCAGAAGAAGAAAAACATCATCATCATCATCATCATTCAGTTGATTGTGTTTGGCCACAATTTTATTGTACAATCACAACAACAACAACAAGTGTTGATTATCGATTATATATATTGGTGAACCAATGGTTCATGGACACCATGAACCATGGTGAAAAGTGAAAAAAAATATATAAAACTTGATTGTCGAAAAACAAAAAATATTCGCGAATCCATTGCCCTCGAAACATCAACAACAACAATCGATGATGATGATGATGATGATGATGTTAATAAACTTGTGATAAAAAAAAACATTCGAAAAGAAAAAAAAAAAATATTTAAATCGATCATTGCCACCACCACCACCACCACCAATCATCATCATCAAACAAACAAACAAACAAAAGAATAGAAAAAAGTTCAAAACAAACGGGTTCATCATATATGTACTTTTGGCCTTTTTTTTTTGTTTTTTGTTTATGAAATTTATGCATATATGCAATAATTCTCTCTCTCTCTCTCTCTCTCGATTGACGAGAATTTTTCATCATCGCCGTCAGTGAACTCATCAAGTGATTATTCATCATTATCGAATTACACAAGAAACAAAAAAAAAAAAAAAAAACAATGGGAAAAAAACAGACATAATCTATACGCATGATCGATATGAATCGAATGTGTAAAATTAACATTCGAATTGAATTTTTTTTTTTGGCTGTTTGCTGTTTTGTCAATATTCGTCGTCGCCGCCACCACCGCCGCTGCCACCGATGACTTGTCGTCATTTTTTTTGTTGTTGTTCCATAAACCAAAACAGAGAAAAAAAAACGAAAGAATGAAATCTTAAGAAGAAATTTTTTTGTTATGTGACTGTGTTTCTCGTCATATTGTCATCATCATCATCATCAGGGTGATGATCGACACACACATACACAAAAAAAAAAAAAAAATTTCTTTTCGTCTTCTTCTTCTTCTTCATTGTTGATGATTATGACAATTGAATTTTTTTTGCAATATAAGGAAATAAAATTAAATTAAAAAAATGGTAAACATCTGAAAAAGAAAGTGTAAAAAAAATGTACAACTTTATGACATCATCAACATCGATATCCGGTTATCGTCATCATCATCATCATCAGCATTATTATGTAAACAATCGATATAATCGATTTTGCAACCACCACCACCACCACCAGCAGTGAATACTTTTATAAATGTCATCGCTCATTAGTTCCGTGTATAATTTTCAATGGGTTGTATTTAATGATTGAATCCAAAAACAACAACAACGACGACAACAAAATCCCAATTTAATCTTGCTATCAGCTATCATTATCTCGATGATGATCATCATCATCATCATCAAGATTGTTTCTTTTTTCGTTCACATGGGAATAAATCGAGATTGACAATAACAACAACAACAACAACAACGACAACGGCAACGACAACGGCCACAACAACCGATGTTAATTTGACTGAAACTTTCATTTATTCATGTACGTAAAGTGTTTAGTTTAGATTGAAATTAATTTTTTTTCTTTTACTTCAATTTCATTTGGTTGCAGGTGCATTTTCCATGATCTTCCATCTTCACTGATCATTGATCATAGTGTTTTTTTTTCTTCAAAATTGTTTCCAAATTTTGAATAAAACGCATTTTTCTGGAAATTTTGGATCGATCCATCACCACCACCACCACTCCGAAAAAATATGATCGGAAATATAAGATTTACCTGTGATAATAATAATCATCAGATGTTGTGTTTGGAAGCTTTTTTTGTTTGTTTTTTGTTTGTCAACAATGTTTGTTCAATGATTTACGGCATTCATGATTATATAACGTAAACTATACTCTCCAGACGACGACGACGACGACGGTTTTCACAGATTTTCATTATTTGCGGGTGCTAAAACATAAAAAAACCACTTGAATTCTCGGATATTATCAAATTAATTTTTTACCGGTGCCAGACACAAATGTTTACACACACACACACACATTTTGAATTTGTTGCATTTCTTCAATACCGTAACAAATCAATTTTCATTGATTGATTGATTCAAAAACAAACAAACAACGTCAATAAGATGTGTGGCCATAACAATACAAGGGGATAATTGATATTGAAACAAAATCAATTTGCACAGTATTTAAATATTCGAATTTTTTTCATTTTCGAGCAACAAGTTTTTTTTTACATATAGATTTCTAAAAAGAATAATGAATCTTATAATGAAATTCATCGACGATGGTCATCATCATCGATTCTTACCATCAACAACAATGAAATCGATAATAATTTTGTCGTTGATGATGGCCACAATTTGTTCATCACAATTTTATTCGTCTCGTCATCATCATCGTCATCGACAACCAGAAGGATGGAATGTTATGGATTGGTGGCATGATAATATACGTGAAGATCTTTATACTACTTTTAATCAATCAATTGATAGCTTGGTTGCTGATGCACCAATGGGTCGATTTGTTCAATTAAAAATTGATGATGATGATCATGATCTCCAAAGTGAAGAATCAAGTCAAATTATTCAACGTCGTTTGGATGATGATCTCGATATGGCTGAAAGTAGTGAAGAGAATGTTTCACAATTAAAATTTTCAACCACAACAACATCACGTAAGTGTTTACCACTTCTTATTCATGATTTAAATTAAAATTTTAATTTTATTTTTCGCAGCAAAACCACCAACACAGCAACAGCAATCAAATCAAACTGGAAAAAGAAAATCAGAACAACAAAAACGAAGATTTCCGATTAACATGGATAAAATGAATAGAAAATGGAAATCACGTGCAGGTGGTGGTGGTGGTGAATCGATAAATAATATGAAAGCAAGACAAATTATGCACATGAATCGTTTCGATGATTATCATGGGAAACAATTTGATGGTGAATCTAGAATTAGACCACAATTTGAAACATCATCGTCATCATCATCATCATCATCATCATATGTGCCACGTGCATCAAAAATATCGATAAAATCATTTTTCTTTGAATATTTCACACAAATTCGTACAAATCTTTATGATTCACATGTTTATGGAAATCTGAAACGTAGTTTACGAGCAAAATTCATTGAATATGGATTACAAACAGCTATACAGCCATTTTTTTATCCGGTTTGTAGTGAATAGAATAGAATGCAATTCTGGTTATTAAATAATTTTCATCCCGTGTATGTGTTTTTTACCAGAAACGAAACGATAAAGGTCATAATATTGTGGCCGTTTTTCCAAGCATTTATCGAAATACATCGAAACAACATCTGGATAATATACTAGTGATTGGTGCACATTATGATACAGTGGCCAGATCACCGGGAGTGGAAGACAATGGTTCCGGTTGTGTTGCCGTTATGGAATTGGCACGGCTATTACATCAACATCGTTGTCGCTTGAATACGACCATAATGTTTGTTTTATTTGATATGGAAGAAGATGGTCTGATTGGATCGAAACATTTTGTTAAAAATTATCTAATACCAATTGTTAATGGTAAACACCGGTTACCAATCAAAGGTGCCATTATTATGGACATGTTATTGGAATATGATCCAACAATCGGATCACAATTGGTCCATGGTATTGGGGTATGTGTAAAAATAATCGTAAAACACCCACTAATTAATCACTAATCAAATTCTTTTAGAATTATCTACCACAATGGAGAGATCGTGTACGACAGAATCAATTTCGTGGCGATTTTACAGCCGTTTGGGCACGTCGTGATGTAGATACCGGATTGTTTGAAACACTGCAATCAAATTGGCTAAATGAACATAAATATAAATTATTTCTGATGGACATACCGTTACCAAAACTTGGACGTCATTTGACCAATGGATTAGAATCGAAAAAATTGGCACCATATTCAACATTTTTACGTTCAGATCATTCATCATTTTGGTATCCACATTCGATAAAAAATGAGACCATTAACGCCATCTTGTTGACCGATCTTGGACCATGGAGACGTCGAGTTTCGAATAAATATCATAGCTCAATGGACAATAGTAAATTGTTGAGTCGTTCGAATTTATTATTCCTTAAAAATAGTATCGATTCAATAATGAAAACCATATTGGACATTGGTGATGGTTATTGTCATCAAGAGATTAAGAAAAAATGAAAAAAAAATCCAAACCAAAAAAATTAATCATGAATTACACGAACACACGTTGTTTTTTTAATTATCCACCACCACCGAGAGATTGTTTGATCTTTTCAACAAACACAAAAACGGAAACCAGTGTGATTTACAAATTTTTTTTCTTTTTTTTTTTTTTTTGATAAATCAATGATCATCATCATGTTTTTTTTTCTTGTAAATGTTTCACACACACACACAAAAATTTGAGAATCACTTGAAACAACAACAAAAAAAAAATTTGTTTTTCTGATTACAATGTTTCTCAACCAATTATACACTACACTACTGGGTTAATTTAAATGAAACAAAAAAAAAAAAATTTCATAGCCGGCCTCCACATACTTATCATATCCTCATCATCATCATCATTATCATTCTTGTCATCTACATTTCTTGTTCCTCCCACACACACACACATGATTTATAAACTTTATTTGGGCGCCACACTATCACCATCGTCAGCATTTAATGTTTTACACACCACAACTCACATGCACACACCTAGTGCAAAAAAAAAAAAAAATTTTAGAAAAATTTTCTTCAATTTTGTTTGTTTCATTTCAGTTTCTTTTTTCGTGTAAAAAAATTTCATAAAATCTGTAAAATTTATATTTCAACTTTATTTGGGTGAATGAAAATGAAATGTCAAATACAAAAAAAAAATTTTTCTCATTGAATCCAATGATCTTGATATATATACTAATTCAACTGAATTTATATTCATCGTTTTTTTCCATTCCGTGTACCATCGTATTCGATTATTATTGTTGTTGTGATTTTTTTTAAAGTTTTTCTTCGCCAACTCACTATCGGTCACTATCGGTCATCATCATCATCATCAAAATCATTATGATGATGACGCCCAGAAAGAAAATAAAAATGCAATCATCTTTTTTTTTTGTTTGTAACAAAACAAAAAAAAAAAAAAAGAAAAGATTGAGTTATTTTATTAAGAAGAGCAAGTAAAAGGATGAAAAATGGCAAGATTTTCCAATTTTTCTTCTTTCTCCCATTACATTTGTCCGATAACGATGTTGTGATAACAATCGATAATCGAATTTTTTTTTTCATTTCATTTCATTTTCGTTTTGATTTTTTTTTCTCGTCATTATTATGCAAGAGATGTGTGTGTGTGTGTGTGTTGTGTGTGTGTGTGTGTGTGTGTGTGTGTGTGTGCAATAGGCAATATAGATGCAATAGATAATGATGATGATGATGAAATACATTTGGCGATTGAATATTCGATTTCCAAATCGATTGGATTATTATTCGATACGATATCATAGGTATAAAAATACAAAAAAAAATATCGGAAGTATAAATGAAGAAAACAAAAAAAAAAACAATCGGCGGGTACACTCGGTTTTTGTCTGTGTGATCTCATTTGTGGAAACTAAATTTAGTCAAAAAAAAAAAAAAAAAAAAAAATGAACAAACGAAAAACTCCAAATTTCCAAATATGTATGCAACACGGTGTTGTATTTCACTCTTCCTTCTTTCCTTTTTTTTTGTTGCATTAATAATCAGCTTTTTTTTGCGTGTAAATTAAACGTAATGATGATGAATAATAAAAGCACACTGAACCCGTTGATAAATGAAACATCAAAATGAATTGGATGAAAGACACTTGTTGTTGAATCTATTAAATCCAATGATAAAATTCAATTTTTTTTCTTTTTTTGCTTTCCAAAAAACCAAACCAAATCAAATTAAATGTGATCCATAACGTTTGTTTTGTACAGACATTCGTTTGTTTTATTCGTCGCTTTACTGAATGATGACGATGATGATGATGGAACAGCCAGGAAGTCATCAAATCGGTGACATTTCAATGAAAAAAAAATTTGCATCATCATCAGTGCAAAAATTTTTTTTTTGAAAATCTTCAATCTAAATTGAATTGAAATTGTTCTCGTTTTTTTTTACAATTTAAACCACCACAACGACAGGACATTTCAATCACAGAAGATCCGGGTTCCATCAATCAACTAACTTTCAATTTGTAATTTGCACGTCGTCGTCGTCGTTTATTTGATGGATGAATTTTTTTCCGTTCAATTCTCGTATTGGCAATTCATTCATTTGTATTTGCCACCATCACGGTGAAAATGGCGTGAAAAAAAAATAAGAATCTAAATGCGACTGGGCCATTCATCACAAATGGACAATTTTTTTTCCAATTTAAATGGTTTATAATCGTCGTTTTCTAATTCATCGTCGATTCGTTTATCATTGTGAACTTGGATTAACTCTGAGTGAATGACAAAAAAAAATTTTATTTATTTTTACCTATGAAAAAAAAACAATCAGGATCAGGTCAAAACTCAAAAAAATACGTGCAACGTTGTATTGTTGGAACAATTGAATCGAAACAACAATTATCACCACCATCATCATCAAAAAAAAAAAAAAAAAAAATGTGAACAAACACTCGAAGAAAAAAAAAATTTAAATGCTGCGTTGTTCATGAATCACAAACTTTTTATGACTTTTTTCTTCAAATGATGATTTGATTGTTCATTGTGTGTGTGTGTGTGCGCGTGTGAATATGAACGAAAAACAACAATTTTTCTGCTGCTGTTGTTGTTGTTGTTGTTGTTGTTGAATGTGCAAAAAAAAAATCCATTAACCTTTCAGTGTCAAGTTTGCAACAAATTTAAGTGAAAATTTTTGGAAAAAAAAATCGACCACAATGATGGATTTAATTGAATCGTTCCAAAAAAAAACACATTCGGACACAGCCAAATAAAAATTTTTTTTTGGGACACAATTTTTTTGTGGTCGTGGTGGTGGTGGTGGTGTGAAAATTTTGTCTTTTTTTTCTCTCTCTCGTTTCCGCATATATATGGACCAATGAACCAAAAATTGTTAATTGATTGATGGATGGTGATTGACACTTGTTGTTGTTGTTGTTGTTGTCTCATTGTGTTAAAAACATGTGTGTGGGCGATAAAATTTTTTGGCGAAAAATGAATTGAATTGAACTGAAACTTTTTCACGTGTTGTGTTTATCAATTTCTATTCAATTATCAAGTATTCGAGAAAATAAAATTCAAACATGTAATCCGAGTCGAATTGAAAATTTCCAATTTCCGTATGGCGAAAAAAAACCGTACAGCAACACAACAGCAACACGACAAATATCATGATCATCTGATTGATTGGATTATCAAATCAAACAAATTATTGATTTTGGCCATAATTATTTGGATCGATCTGATTTTTTGTTCTGTTTGTTTGTTTTTTAATCGGACAAATTTTTTTTTATCAGGTTCCCATGGCCTCAAATGTATTTATTTATTTTTTTTTTGCTCGCCATTGACATTTAAAAGTGTTTGAGGAAAAAAAATTTTTTCATTTCAATTGATTTGATTTGTGTTCAATCATTAAAAGTTCAGATTTGATCATTTTAATCACCAACAAAAGCAACAGCAACAAGTTTTCGTCATGTTCATAAACAGGATAATTTAACTTTTACCAGGAAAAAATTGTTTTTTTTTGCATTTTTTTGAAATTGATTCAATGATCGACGAAAAATCTATTTTAATCCATATTACACACACACTCACTGTCAATACAAATGATTGGCCTGTGTCTCTGGATATTCGATTAGTGGTTCTCCAATCAATTGATCAATTGTTGTTGTTGTTTTGAAAGAAAAAACATTTGCATCTGAACAACAACGACAACAACAACAATTTCAATGATAATTGTGTGATGTCGAAAGATTGTCAAATTCAATTTGATTTATCTATTTGATTGATTGATCGATTGAGTGAGTGAGTGAGTGAATCAGTTAGAGTGGAGAAACAAAACAACAAAAGCAGCAACAAGGAAACATTATCCATTCCAGAATCCATCATCATCATCATCATCATCGATTTGATCGTCAAATGAACAAAACAAGCATCAAATGAAATAAATTGACTAAAAATTGCATAATTTCATTATGTAATAATTTATTAATCTCCTTGTTGAAATTTTCACTATTAAAAAAAAAAATATGAAAAAATTCAATGTCCAAACTAATTACAATGATAACAACAACAACAAATTGTTATAATCCGGTCAACGAAGAAAAAACTCATTTGATCATTATACAAGTAGAAAATATCGATTGTTGACAATGGACGATGATGATTATGGACAATAATAATAATTTTGACCAATTCGTTTTCAGTTTCATTTCATTTTTTCATTTTTTTTTTTTTTTTTTGATTACACATTTCATTCAAATCATCATCTGTTGATGATGTATTTTTTGTGGCCATTGTCACATATGATTACGACTAGAGCTAGAGAGAGAGAGAGAGAGGAGAGATACACCTATTTTCGAGGACATTTATGCATTTATTTGGACATTTGTGGTCTATTTAAATTCCGATTATGAAACTTACGAAATCTTTTTTCTTTTACAATTACATGATCCTTGTTGTTGTCGTCGTTGTTGTTGTTGTTGTTATTGTTCAAATGATCATTGAACAATTTTTTTTCACATCATTAGAGAATAGAATAAGAAGAATTGACTATCGAATCGAATCGAATCGATTTTCATTTTTTTCCAATTTTCATTCGTTTGTTTTTTTTTGTCTTTTGCTTTTGTTTTGTTGATCATTATTTGATGGTTTGTGTGTGTGTGTGTGTGTGTGTTACGAAACCTGATGTGATGGTCATTTTTTCGCCTCAATTTTTTTGGAATGATTTTTGGCAATCATCATCATCATAATGAAAAACGGAAAATGAAACGTTGTCCATTACTTCATCTGTGAAAACGATGATGATGATAATGATCAACCACAAAAATAGATTTCATCGATTGATCGATTTCGAACCAATTTTTTTTGCTCTGTTCAATATTTATTGACGGATTACAATTCACTCACTCACTCAGTCACTCAGTCACTACTCACAATTGTGAACTCGAAATTGAAAGTTGAATTTTCAATCAAAATTTGAATAACTGTCATCCATCCATACAGACACACACACACATACACACGCGCGCTTAAACATTATTTGTCATTGGTCAAGTGGCGATTATTTGTTATTTCAAAAAAAAAAAAAAAATCATGTCATGGAACACATGTTGATCAACAACAAAAAAAAATCAAAATTACATCATTACACACACACACACATTCGCACACATCATAGGATTTCAATCAAATCTGAATTTGAAAATGAATAGAGCAAAAAAAAAAAATAAAAAACGATTAAATCCGATCCGATTAGATAATAAATCTATCAATCAATCAATCAATCAATAAACGACATAAAATTCAAAATTCATTTTATTGTCTCATTTAATGATCATCAACCGATTATTGATTAGAGATTGATAAAGAGAAAAAAAAGTGGGGGCATCTTTAATCTGAAACGATGATGAATTCATCATCTATTTGTTCGTTTGTTTGTCCGTTTTTTCCCCTTCCTCATTCGGTCATTTTTATTTCATTCATTCATTTTTTTTGTTGTCTTGGGTGTGTATCGGAAGCAAACAAATTGCTGTTGTTGTCTTTTTCTTTTCGATCATAATAAATGAATACCACACCAAAAGTGATGTGTGTGTGTGTGTGTGTTGTGTTTTGTCGAAAAAAAATCTAGTTTTTTAGCTGCTGATTATTATTATGGGCCGATAATAATCAAAATCTTGACGAATAATCAAAAAAAAAAAAAAAAGATTTTATCTACATAGAAATGAACGAAAGACCTGAATATTTTCATTTTATCATTTTATTCAAATCATCAATTTAGGATGGATGGAAAAGAAAGTTTTTTTTCCAGTGAAGCCATTTATTATCAATTCCAAAAAAGATTTTTTCTTCATTTCTTTGATTTTCCACTTCTTTTTTTTTGATGAAATCTTGATCTAGATATGCGGTGTGTGTGTGAATATTTTTAGCTCGGATATAATGTGTGTGTGTGAGATTAAAACGGAAAACTTTTCCAAACTGGTCCGTTTATCTAAAAGCTAAATGTATTCATCATCATCATCATCATCATCATTGATCATTGATTCAGATTTGGATTAGACATGATTTGAACACCTGTTTTTGCTATGGATGCAACAATAATTTTTCATCATGATGATGATGACCACTGCCACCATCAAACATACGAATAAAATCAGGTTACACACACACACATTAATCCACCCACATAAATGAATCCAATGAGTTGAACAAACGACAAAAAAATCAATTAATATATCTCGTTCACATGAAATCATTCGATCCAATTCAAACGAAAAAAAAATTGACATTGCGTGATATATCACCAATGATGACGATGATGATAATTAGGCTGAATTTTCATCTATTGAAAAACAAAAATTCACACAAACTGTAACAACAACAACAACAACAAAAGGTAAAAGTGTTTACAGGTGTGTGTGTGTGTGTTTATGGTTTTTGACAAAACAAAATGAAAAGAAAAGAAACCAACCAGTTTTTGTTACTATAATTAGTTTTGATTGTTTTATTTTGTTTTGTTTTGTATTCCATTCACAATTGTTTTTCTTTTTTTTTTTTTTTTTTTTGAAATTTCAAAATTTCAATTCAACTGATTGATGATAACGGGAATTTTTAAAAAATAAAGATGACGATGATGATGATGAATTAATTTGCACTTGTTGCCACCACTTGTGATATATCGAAAACAGAAAATTGAAAAACAAAAGTTTCCGCTTCCTCAACAAGTGTTTGTTTCATTTTGCAATATTTTTAGCCACCAAAATGCAACAACAATAATTCATCATCACCTGTATAATCATCATTGGATTTGTATTATTGTTCACGCTACAATTCAATTATATAAATAAAAAAAAATTTGAAACAAAATTAGTTTCAAATTACATAATTTGGAATCTACTAATTCCATCATGAGAATTTGTTTTTTTTTCAGATTGTTTACGGACAATAAAAAAAAATTCACAATCCATTTCTCTACATAATTGATTTCTTCTTGAATCAGGTTTCAACCAGTTTCAGTATTCTCTCATCATTTTTTTTAACTTTCTCTTTCGTTTACATATTTGTGGTTCAATTTTTCGGGATATTTTCTTTTCTTTTTCTTTTTTTCTTTTGCAGAAAATTTGACTCTTTGTTTCATTTTTTTGTTGTTGTTGTTGTCTGTATTACAGAAATGAAAACATTCTCTTTATTTCGGTGGGATTTGTGGTTTTTTTTTCATATCTAGGCTTGCCTCTATCATCATCATCATCATCATCATCCACATTTGATCGAAAAATATTATTGCACAGCAGCAACAGGTCCCCTCTATATAAATCGTACAATCAATGATCCATTGGATGATCAGTGTATGTAAATTGTGATTTGTGTTTGGTGTGGTGTCCAGCGACGATAACGAAAACGAAATCATACACAACAACCTGATTGGTTTTTTTTCAGTGTCATTTTGTATTTATCATCAATTTTTTTTTTTGATCTATTCATTCATCCACCTCATTATTGATAAATTGTGATCCTCATATTTTACTTCTCGTTTTGTGATTATTTTCATCCGCTGTTTTTTCTTTTTTTGCCGTGTTTTGTCACCCGAAGAATTAAACTATTCGCTTCATTATTTCAAAATCATCATATACCAAAAATAAATAATAAATCAATATGCGTTTCGCAGTGGTCTGCCTTTGTTTGGTAGCCGCCGCCCACACTAGTCTCGCTTCCGGCGGAGGTGGTGGCTACGGCGGTGGAGGTATGGGAGGCGGTGGTGGTGGTTACGGTGGAAGTGGCGGAGGAGGTGGAGGTAATTATTCATTCTTTTCCAATGTTCAAATTAAATGATATTCCTAATCAATTTTTTATCAACAGGTTATGGAGGCGGAGGTAGCTCCGGCGGTGGTGGTGGCTACGGTGGTAGCGGTGGAGGCGGTGGTGGCTATGGTGGCGGCGGAAGTGGAGGAGGAGGTAACTATTCATTAATTTTCAGTTCACTTGAAATGAAATGACACAATTCTGATTGTTTTTTTGGAATATTTCTAAAAATTTAGGTTACGGTGGTGGAGGTAGTTCTGGCGGAGGTGGTGGTTATGGCGGAATGGGAGGTGGCGGTGGAGGTAATGATTAATTTTCTTTTATGCACATCCTTACATTTTTAAAAAACAGGATATGGAGGCGGAGGTAGCTCCGGTGGCGGTGGAGGCTACGGTGGGGGCGGTATGGGAGGAGGAGGTAATAATTTATTTTCATGTTCAAATGAAATTACAAAATTCTAATGTTGTGTGATAAATTTTTTATCAACAGGTTATGGAGGCGGAGGTAGCTCCGGTGGTGGCGGTGGATACGGCGGAGGTAGCTCTGGTGGTGGCGGCGGATACGGTGGAGGTGGCGGTGGAGGTACTAATTTATTTATTTTTAATGCCAATTACAATTTTTAATAATGTTACCAATTTTTCGTTTGTCTTTTAAAAATCAGGTCATGGAGGTGGTGGTGGCGGCTATGGCGGTGGCGGTATGGGAGGCGGTGGTGGTGGCTACGGCGGAAGTAGTGGAGGAGGTGGAGGTAATAATTCATTCATTTTCAATGTTTAAATGAAATGCTAATCTTTATCAATTTTTCATCCGAAGGTTATGGAGGCGGAGGTAGCTCTGGTGGTGGTGGTGGCTACGGTGGTGGCGGTATGGGAGGCGGTGGTGGTGGCTACGGCGGAAGTAGTGGAGGAGGTGGAGGTAATAATTCATTCATTTTCAATGTTCAAATGAAATGCTAATCTTAATCAATTTCTAATCCGCAGGTTATGGAGGTGGAGGTAGCTCCGGTGGTGGTGGTGGCTACGGTGGTGGCGGTATGGGAGGCGGCGGTGGTGGATACGGTGGTAGTGGTGGAGGTGGTGGAGGTAATAATTCATTTATTTTCAATGTTATTACAAAAAATTCTAATGATGTGTGATTATTCTTTTAACAATAGGGTATGGAGGAAGTTCCGGTGGCGGTGGCGGCTACGGTGGTGGCGGTATGGGCGGTGGCGGCGGAGGTGAGAATGATTTCTATATTGAATAGGAATAGGAAATTAATTTCAATCAAATAAACAAAAAATTAGACAGAATATTTGCAGCAAAAATTCTAGATAATCTACAATATTATTCAGGTACTATAATTCAGGTCAAACTGGTGCACGAATTCCAATTTATTTAACATCAATTATTTTTCGATCAGAATTTATAAGATTAGCGGTATTCATATATAGTTTTTTTCAATACTTGGCCAAATTTTTTGATATTTTTAATGACCATTTCTTATCAATTATCATCTAGGTTATGGTGGTGGTGGTGGAAAAGGCGGCGGCGGCGGCGGATATTCTGGTGGTGGTGGAAAAGGCGGCGGCGGCGGTGGATATTCTGGTGGTGGCGGAAAAGGCGGCGGCGGTGGTGGTAAGATTTTTTTTCGAAAAAATATTCAGAAAAAAATAAACTAAAAATGATTTAACTTTTAACCAGGTTATGGTAAAGGTGGCGGCGGCATGTCCGGTGGATATTAATAAACCACACGACAACCAAATTCAATTTGGATTAGCCCCGATAAAAGGAAAACCAAAAAAAAAACTTTGCCAACAATTCTGTATTATAATTATTGATTGCCGTCATCGAATGATAAACCGATAATAACGGAAAAATGCTAAAATATTCACCATTCAAAAATGCCTCACCATCATCATCCATCTATTCATATAGGCAACGTAACTCAATCATGACCATCTCCTATTATCGAACGAATCTCATCACCATCTAATGATATCCACCACGAAATCGTTTGTTATACGATGCTCGAAGCATCAAGAGATACAAATATTTATTCTGAAACAAAAAAAAAAAAAAAAAAATCAATACCACCATCATCATTGAATATTCTGTGTCTTGTGTGTCCAAATATCAATGTCCATAAATTATTAATATTTCGTTCGTATTTATTAATCATAATTTTTATTCATTAACCATTCCATACACACCACACCATCACCAATTACATTTTCATCGTCAAAAATCATCGCCATTCATTCATTCATTCATTCACCATCACCAAACAAAAAAAAAAAAAAAAATCAGCGATGACGAAAAAACCATCAAATCAAATTACGAATTATAATCTTTGAATGAATTTTTTTTTGTCTACATTAATAACAAACAATTTGGATTCTCAAACGCCCACACACCCTACACACACACAATCATTTGCCATTTGCCACATTCACCTGCTCCCCAAGCCAACATCCACAATCACCATCCAGTTATTGTTAAATGAAAATTTAATTATCAATTTTCAAATAAAATTCGTATACATTGAATGAATCATTGATCAATGTTTTTTTTCCATTTTGATCCTCATTAATATTGGCAGCAGCAGATGGCAATTCATTTCAATGGCGCCATACCATTCCCAATTAAATCAATTGATTGATTAATCAAATCATTGAAAATCACATAAATATGATAAATATCGATCAGTTTGATATATTTTGATTCTTTTTACCTGTTGCTCATCATCAATAATCTTTGATGATGAATCTCAAGTATTTTTCTTTTTTTTTGTTATTTTAAAATTTCAGTATTGCAATAAAAAAAAAAATTTTTATGACTAAATATTTTTATTACAACAGCAAAAAAAAAAAAATTAAAATTTAAACAAATCGTAATTCTTGATAACTTGGTGGTGGAATTTCTTCATCATTTATCTTTGTTGTTGATTTTTTTATTTTGTTTTCCATATTTGATTCTTTTACCTGTTGCTGTTGTTGTTGTTGTTCATCAACAACTTCTGAATATGATGGTAATTGATTAGCAATAGATTCATCATCATCATTTATGGTTGTTAATGATAATAAATCATCAACTATTAATCTATTTGGTATCAAGAACCTTGGATTTAATGATGATGATGATGATGAAGATGATGATGATTCTGAAAATGCTGAAATAGCTGATGGTTCATGATCTAGAAATGTTGGTAATAATAAATTAAAAACGGTTGCCGATGATGGTGAACAATATAATGTTGCTGCCTGTGATGTTGATGGTGATAATGATGATAATGGATGATGAATATTTGATTGTAATGTTGAACGTCTTAAACTCATTAGATTTTGATTTCGTCGTTGATTGAAACGATTAAATTGATTTTGGTGGCCACCATGAATACATGGATTTCTTGTAAACATTTTCTTTGATGACATCCATACCGTACGACGTATGTGATTGGCAAAACACATCATCATTATCAGCATAATTATCACCATGATTAATATCAGAATTATTTGTAAATTTTCTGTCCAAAAAAAAAAATTCAAAATTAAAAAACCAGAAACCAGAATCATCACCATCATAGTACTTACCATTCATAACGTTAAATACATGTTTTGCACCATGATGATGATGATCATCATCATCATCAGTTTTATTGCTAAAATCTGGTAAATAATCTTGAATCGTTTCAAACGATGACGACATGATCTGGGTTGAATTCATTTTTATTTTGAATCAAAAAATCATAAGGAGTTGAAAATGAAATGGTTGATTTTATTTTTTTTTTCTCTGACAAATTTGTCATATACAAATAGATGTGTGATACAAGATTTTTGTTTGTTTGTTTGTTTGTTTATCAATGATGGATGATGATCTATGGAATGATGGCCAGAAAAAAACAAACAAACAAACAAACATCATATGTGTGTGTGTGTGTGTGTGTGTGTGTATTTAAACTGTCAATCAATGGTTAAAAAATTATAATCGGTAGAGATCAGACACAAACATACAAAAAATGGCAATGTACGAGATACACATTATTATCAGTGATATTTATATATTAACAGAATGATAATATAACGATTATTAATCGTTTTTTTTTGTCACTTTATTTCAAGGTGTATTTTATTTTTATTATATCCACATTAATTATTTAGATTAATTGTAGCAATCATCAATTAATAATAATGATGATGATGACCGATAGAAGATGTATAGACACGTAGGCAAAGACAAAAGAAAAAATCTGGAAAACGCAACAAAAACATCTGTTGAATATTGTTGTTGTTGTTGTTGTTGTTGTTGGTTGCAAAAAAAGGATTTGATATTTCATGATTATTACAACGTGATGTATCCATGCTTGGTAATGGTATTGCTGATGCTGATGCCGGATTCAAATGTTGTTGTTGTTGTGCAGATGTGAAATATTAGTTTACCAGAAAAGCAACAGGTAATATATTTCTATCCATCATTATTGAAATCTTGTATATTTAAATTGTTTAAAATTCGATGATGATGATGATGACCGTTGATGATTACCTTTCATTATATTAGCAATATTTTCAATATTTGCATAATAATTGGCTTGTTTTTCCTTTTGTATTATTTCAGTAGATGGTGATCGATTTGTTGCTGGAAATGAAATCATTGCTGGTTGTTGAATCGATACAAATGTTGATCGAGCACGACGAATATTTGATATTAAACAATATAGAACTACAATAGGCACAATCGTAATGGTCAACAATAGAATTCTTGTAACATGATCACCAAATTGATAATATTGTGGCCGAAATAAATGATACCAATAAACGGTACATTTTCCTGTATCCATATCGATATCATAATCACATTCACATGTACCATTACGACATTTACGAAACATATCACCTTCGTTGAAACATTGTTCATCATATTGACATTGAAATGGTTCACAAAGACCAGAATTTGAATTGCGACGATAATTGGTTGGACATTGACAATGAAACATAAGGCATTTACTACCAGGATCTTTTACGTTGCAATCATTATCAGTAAGACATTTATGACGACAACTACCCAGATGATCTTCAAGTTGATCATGTGGACATAAACATTTCACGGTAGTTGATGTTGCTATACCATTTTGCCAATTATACCATGGTATCCAATGACATTCACGTTGTAATGATTGACATATCCGTGGATCGGATAAACAATTTCTATATTCACATTGACCATTATTCCATCTGGAAAAAAAGACAAAAAAATTCAATCAAATAGAAATCGAATAGAAAATTTCAAACAAAAAAAAACTTACACATGTGATGGTAGACAATGACAATGGCCATTATGACAAAATTGTTTATCCATTTTACAATTATGGTTAGTATCACAATTAATCACATGATTATTATTACGATCATTATCAGTTCGATGATCTCGTCCATCACCACCATCATCAACCACGACGAAAGATGAATGGCCAAGATTTAAACATTCGACTAATAGAACAACAACAACAACCATAAACCAAATAAATAATCGATTATTCAATTGAAAAGAATCGAACATTTTTTTTTTTTTTTTTGATTTGCCAATTTCAACAATCGATATTATCGATATAATCAAATTTTTGTTCGACGAAAAAAATTTTTTTTTTAAATTTTCAAAACCAAAAAAAAAAATCGTCATGAATCAGTAAATCATCAAAAAAATAGCCATGAAGTGAATAGAAAAAAAGGTGGAAACAAAACAGATTTTTTTCTTCTTTTGGTGGCTGCTGACGTATATTGCAATCATATGGAGAAAACGTAAAAAAAAAGAAAATCAAAGTCTAACTAAAAAAAAACTTTTAAAGTAAAGTATATCCACACACACATTGAAAACCGGAAGATAATTGTCAAGGTAACAGGAACAAACAAACAAACATACACTTACATTTACACTTGAAAATTTAATCCAGAAACAGGATCAAACATGATCATGATAAACAACGTAGACAGTTCTTATTTTTTTTGCAATATAACAATCATCATTATCATCAGAAAAAAAATGAAAATAAATAACAAGGCAAATAAATGTTTCAAATAACAAGATGAAAATGAGAGAGAGAAAAAAAATCAGATAACAACAATATACTGATAAGGCATGAATAGGATTTAAGGTGTGTGCGTGTGTGCGATACAAGATAGATGGATAACAACAATTAAGCTCGATTAGCACTTTTTGAAAATCTGTAGATTTTGATTCATTTAGAATCATGTCGTTGTTATAATTTTATTTTTTTTAAGTAGTAGCCGTTGATGATGATGATGATGATGACGATATCATTTGTTCGGTGGTATCGTTGACATGATCATTATTGTTGTTGAAACATTTCCATGTAAATAATTTTGAATAATGTTTTTCATTATTGATCCATCGATTCCATTGTTGATCATTATTCTGTTGGCTGATTATTAATGTTTCATTATTGTCATCTGTATTATAAGTAATCGGCTCTGGACATGGTACAATAAATATCAACAATATTAACGATATACAAGATAACAGTAATAATAATAATAGAATTAATGCCAGATAGAATGCAATTGAATGATAATTGCAACATCTAAATTGATGAAATTGATCCATGTCCAAGCGATGTGGATCTTGATGATGATGATTATTGCGAGACATTTTCTCTTGTTTTATTTTGTTTTGTTTTGATTCGATGTTTTTTTATCTTTGGTTTTATATTGGACACGAATTATGATTGCAATGAAATGATGACAGCTTTTTTTTAGTTTTTTTTTTTTTTTGATTTCCGAATGTTGATGATTATGCAGAATAGCTATATGGAAGGAAAAACAACAACAGCGACAAGAATGATAATTCAATTTTTGTTTTCAACATTGTTCAATCATACAACATACCGGTTTGTATGTTTTTGTTTTGTTAATTAATCTACGTTGGTGAATTGAAATTCAATTACATCATCATCATCGTCAACATCATCTAAACAAGAGAACATTGAAAGAAAATTTGAAAAAAAGATAAAATCATTGATTACCTGAATGGATTCGTAGGACAATGGATATTCAATAAAAAGAAATTTCTACCACAATCGCAAAGATTATTTTCATCAATCAAAATGAAATGATGACAAATTTTGTTTTTTATTATCCAAAATCGAACAACATGATATATAATAAAAAAAAACTGTTTTGTTTTGTTTGACAAGGATGTTTTGCCCTAAGAAAATTAAAAATTTTCGTTCCAAGATGGCGTTGACAATAACATTGGTTGATAATTCGATATCAACCAATCGAATCAAAAACAATCAGCTGTCACACAACAAACAATCAACAAGCGAAGGTGTTTTTTTTCAATTAATTAAATAATAATAATGGCATCTATTCTGGAACAATATGATGCTTATAATTATCAATCGGGACCAATTCGTGGCGGTACGATCACACAAAATGAGGTATGAATTCAATTTACATCAAAAAATGAATCTAATGTTTTCATGTTCAGGGAATCATTAATCTACGATCCGATCAATTGGAACCAATTTTTACGAAAAATAAAATTGATTTTCGTCCCAATTATCCGATAACAAATATGGTCATATCCAATAATCAGCTTTTATTATCAATGGAAAATTTTCATCTACTCAAAATTGATCTGATGAATCCAACAAAACCAACAGAAATTGATCTTAATCCATATTTTGTTCCGATTAAAGCTCCAAATAGACCAGTGATTTGTGGCCTATTCATTGATAATAGTGGTCAACATTGTTTGATAACTGTTGGACAACGAATCAAAAATAATCCATCTATGGATGTTATTCCATTTGAAAATTTTTATTATTATCGTAAATTATCATTATTGAACAAAATGAAAGGTCATATCATAACGGCGGTTGGTTGGCTCGATCAACCACAACATCAACAATCTGGACAATGTGGAAATTTATTAATCGGTACTAATGAGGGAAAAATTTTCGAAACACATCTACAATCAGATGATAGATTTCTTGCATCACGTGAACTTTCATTTTGGAAACTTATCTGTGATTTTTCACCAACGATTGCCTCTACTGCTGCTAATCTAGATTATTCATCATCCAATTTATCAAATTCATCAATGGATCCAAATAAAACTTCATCATCATCATCATCATCAGTAGCAACAGCAAACACTATTGCTGTGAAACAAGAACCAATTTGTGCCATAAAATTATTTCGTTTAAAAAATCGTGAATTCTGTATATTGATTGCAACAAGAAATCTTATCTATCAATATATTGGCCGGATCTCTCCATCGACAACAACACAATTAATTGGTGGCATTAATTCTGGTACTTTTGCTGATATGAGTACTGGTGTTGGCAATGGCCAATTGATTGATGGACAACCATATCTTTATCAGATTATACAAGGCCCGAACAGTCAAAAAACATTCAAAGAGATGCCTGGCTATATACCGGCAACCAGATTAGATTTGTTTCGACCGACAATTTCTACGAATATGGATAATAATTATCCATTATCATTTGGTTGGTTAACTGAACCAGGTATATTCTATGGAGATATACCATCCGATTTCGGTTATAAAGAACGGAAAATTTTTGATAATGCTACCGTTATTATGTATTCTGATCTAAATCAACCATTATCGGATTCGGAACATTCCCGTGAATCATCTAATCATCTGCATCATCATCGATCAATACCACAATCATTAGTGTTGACCAGATTTCATTTGATGCTTTTGTATCCACATAAACTTCGTGTTTATTGTGTATTGAATCGTCAATTAGTATGGGAAGATCGTTTTGTTGGTGAACCAGGTGAAAATCTTGTTAAAGATCCAATACGTAATACAATTTGGTCGTATACAAAAAGTTCTGTTTATCGTTATCGTATTAATCAAGAAGATCGTAATATTTGGGAAATTTATTTGAAGAAAAAAGATTTTGAACAAGCTAAACATTTTGCACGTAATGATCTGATAAAAATGGATCGAATCATTTGTGAAGAAGCATTATATCATTTTGCTCATAAAAAGTAAGTCAATTAGAGTGTCAGTATCTGTTTTACAAATTAAAATTTTGATCCAAATCTATTTTTTTCAGCTATATGAAAAGTGCTCAACTTTTCACACAAACACGTACAAAATCATTCGAAGAAATTACATTGAAATTTATTGAACTTCGTGATGAAAATCAAGAAGCGTTGAAAGAATTTCTATTGAATAAATTGACAACATTATCGTCGGAAAAAGAACGTACACAAATAATCATTTTGTTATTGTGGTTATTCGAATTGATGCTCAATCAATTGGCTTTATTGAAATCATCGGCCCAAGATTATTCTATAACGAATGATAATCAAAGTGATGATCATGATCATGAAAAGTTGAAATGTGAACAAGATAAAATTGAACAATGTCTGAAAAGGATAATTTCCAACGCAAATTATCGACAACCATTACGTAATAATCGAAAAATTTTCTATGATTTAATCCTAAATCATGATAATCAAGAAATGTATGAATTTTTTGCTAATGAAATTAATGATTTTGATTGCCTATTGGATCATTATTGTCGTGTAAGGAATTATCGCCAAGCGATCAATTTGATGAGACGTGAAGAATGTTTGGATTATTATTACCACTATTCACCATTGATAATTCAACATTTACCAAAAGAATTGATTGATTGTTTGATACCATTGGCTAGTGAATTAGATATGGCCAAATTAATACCATCATTAGTACATTTTGATCATTCAAATGATGATGATCATTCTGTAAATGATGAACGACGTGAACATCAAGTATGTCAAGTGTTTTGAAATTTATTTTCTAATTTATTGATGATTTTTTTTTTCTAGTGCAAAGAAATTTTACGTTTTCTAGAATTCTGTGTATACGATCTTAAGATCCGAGATGGCCTTGTACATAATTATTTTCTTGCATTAATGGTACAATATGAACCGGATAAATTACTTTCATATTTGAATGATGTTTCACAACAAACGGCCAATGCATCCAATGATTCTTATATGTTTACAAATAATGATGGCACTGGTAATTCATCATCATTGGTTCCATTTGATCTAAGTTATGCAGCAAGAATTTGTTTACAGAATAATAATCAGAATAACAATAAAATGGTACCACCACGTGCCCTAGTACAGCTATTGGCAACAATGGGTGCATATGAAGAAGCTATTGAACAGGCGTTATCAGTAAATGATGTTGATCTAGCTAAACAGATGGCTGATCAAGTCCAAACAATGTTAACATCATCATCATCATCATCATCGGCGACAGCAGATCAGCATCATCACTCAAATCTAGATTTAGCCAAACGTTTATGGTTAAAAATTGCCAAACATGTGATTAAAAATATCTATGCTAAACCAGATGATGATTATAGTAAAGACCATCAACAACAACAGCATGGACAGCAGCAAGAAAACACGGTAAACTTTGATATATCAATGGCAACAAGTATATTGAATGAATGTTCATTATTAAAAATTGAAGATATTCTGCCATATTTTCCTGAATATCTAACTATTGATCATTTTAAATCGGCAATTTGTCAATCATTGGAGAATTATAATGAACATATTGAATCATTACGTGATGATATGAAATTAGCTACAGAATCAGCACAACAAATACGTGAAGAGATTGCAAAATTACGAAATCGTTTTACTATTATAAATTCTACAGATATTTGTTGTTTATGTTCATTTCCAGCCATAAATGAACATTTTTATTCATTTCCATCATGTGGCCATTTATTTCATCATAAATGTTTAATACAAGAAATTGTTGAATATCTTGATAATGATAATCGTATACGATTAGAAGCAATGTTATCAGAAATGAAATCAATACAGAATCAATTACAAACATTGATGATGACAATACCCGGTGGTGGCAATAATAATGGTGTTGTTAAACAAAATAATCAAAATTCATCATTCGAACAGCAACAACAACAACAATCATCGACAACAGAATCATCATTATCATTAACAAATCGTTTAGAAAATCTGAATGAACGAATTGAAGATCTAATCGGTAGTGAATGTCTTTTATGTGGTAATCTAATGATTGAGACCATTGATAAACCATTTATTGATGAATATAGAGATCGTGACCAGCAACGTGGTTGGATTTGATTGAATTGAGAAATTTCAGAAGAGAGAAAGAAAAAAATTTATTGTCATTTTTTAAAATAAATTTATTAAAAAAAAATAAACTTTTTTCAATTAATCAGAAGTAAATAACTTGTCATAATTTTTTCAACGTCAACAGATGGCAGCACTTGCTTCAAATTAAAATCAAATGCCGCTAGACTTTTGGCATATATGCGTGATTTGTTCAATGAATGAATGAATTTTTTTTTATTTATTTATTTATAATTCTTTTTAATTACAGCTGATCATTGATCATGATGATCATTTCAAACAAACAAAAAAAAAATAAAAAATTTGTAATAATTTAAATAACACATTAATGTAATGATGATCAATTATGGCGAAAAAACCAAACATTTTCCGGTTGTTCATCATCATCATTAAATGTACTGATTGTTGGCCATGTACATGTGGCCGTCGTCTCAGTCTCCGTTGTTGTTGTTTTTGTTGTTGTCGTTGACGTTTTCATTTTGTTATCATTATTGATTCCCATGGCTATGTTATTATTGTAATGGCCATCATTGAATGATGATGAAAATGATGATTGAATCGAAAAAATTGCCATAATCACCCATAGAAGACAAATGGTTATTAATGTCAATATGAATGAAATGAAATAGATTCCCATTTTTAAAAAAAAAATGTTTGATGATAATAAATGATTTTCAATCAATCACCAATCAATCAATCATTTACCGAATCGAAATTCGGAATCTGAATCTTAATAAATCATCAAGTTGATTTGTAATAAGTCATTTTAAGCAGCAAGTGAAACAAAACAAAAAAAATCCAAAGCTCAATAAATGTAACCGAACAAACAAAAAACAGTACAGCTTGACGACAATAATCATTGATTTTCAATGATTTTCGATTATGATAATGATGATAACTGATTTTAAATTGTAACAACGAATACAAAAACAACAACAACAACAAAAATTGATGATGATGGCAAGAAAAATAAACGAACAAAACGAATGAATGAATGAATGAATGAACAAACGTTGAGTGAACAAAATGGAAAAAAAAACGAAACCCAAAAACAAAATTGTCATAGACTAAAAATAGACACACACACACACAAAAAATAAAATAAAATTCAAATTTCCATTTGTTTGTCGACCATATTTGTTTTTTCGCCTTGAATTTCAATCACACACGCACTTACGATGAAAATGATTCAACAGAATTCCAGAATTTGAAACAAACAAAAAAAACTTTCATTATAAAGTTAATTAGATCATAATGATGATATTAACCTGGATAAATAAATTTTTTAGGACAGACAAATGAAAAAATTCCAAAGTTCATCACTTGAATATTCATCATCATCAACATAACGATTCTCAATGATGATGATGATGATGATGATGATGATGATTGGGCATAAAATTTGGATTCATTTTTTTTAATATTCAATTTTTATTATCAATAATGATCATCATATAATTTATAAACAAAAATACAAATGACGATGATGATGATGATGATTAATGGATTTTTTCTTGTGTTTTTTTTTTTGAAAATCAAAAACAATCAATCCATCATCAGATGTGGTAGTGTTGGTGGTGGTGGTTCAACGCAAAAAATTTTTTTTTTTTTTTGGCCAAATAATAAATGATGATTCTCGTATTCTTGCTGTGGTTTCACGTGATTCTAATGAATTGAATCATTTCGAATAAATATACAGAATAATGATGAAATGAGAAAAAAAACTTGAGACCGGAAATGCACAATATTGGTGTATGTCTGTCTGTGTGTGTGTGTGTGTGGGTTGTTTGTTTTTGGTTTCATTGCATTTTGTTTTGTAATGAAAAAAAAAAATCTCAAAAAAAAACGTTCAAAGAAAGTTTTCAAAACAATTTTTTAATCCTTTCAGGAAATTTTTTTTTTAATAATAAGTTAATAATTACATTACAATAATTCAGAGAGAGAGAGAGAGAGAGAGAAAATTCAGGAGATACTGTTGTCATTGTACAGAAAAAAGGCGTTTTGCTGTGTGTGTGTGTGTTGTAGAGATTCACAATCTGTTGGTTTGTTTTAGTTGGAGTCGAGTTGTGTTTGCACCGGTTTTTTTTCATATATATATTGGCTTCTTCAGGTCTCATTGAATGAATGAAATTGTATCCTGTATATATATATAAATATAAATGTTTTTTTTTTCTTTTTTTTTTTGATGATGATAAACTTGCAAATATTTATAAATAATATTAACAACAAGAAATGAAAAATGAAAAAATGAAAACAAAGCAAAAAAAAAAAAAAATATAAAAAAAGAGATTCGCGTCCATTTGAGTGAAAATCCAGATGATGATGATGATGATGATGATGATGATGATGATGAGTTGATGATAATCGCACATTGATCAGATTGTAAAATGCGAAAATGCAAAAACAAAACAACAAAATTGGCATTGAGTGGGCAAAAAAAACACAGCGCGTGTGTCTGTGTGTCTGTATGTATATATGACATTTATGAAAAAAAAAGTCAAAAATCAAAATAAAGATGAAAAAAGAAGAAAAATTCATAACAAAGTGACAAAGATGAAAAAAAAAAATTTTTTTTTGTCGAAAAAATATATATTTCTCAGATTTAAACAACGAAATATGATCATGTGTGTGTGTGTGTGTGGGGTATGTGTGGGTGTAGAGAGAATAATCAATAAGGACAAAAAGAAAGAAAGAAAAAAAAACGAAAATCAAATTCATCAACAAGTTCGATTGATTCATTCATTTAGTCATTAGGTTTGTTGTTGTTGTTGTTGTTTTAGGATTTGAATTTAAAGTTCTGGTACAACAACAACAACAACAGCAAAAAAAAAGAGTAAAACAACAAAGAAGATGAAAAACTTGTTTTGGAACACAATTGTTATTTGGAACTTTTTTTTCATTGAAAATATCGATAGCGATCAAACAAAAAAAGGCATATCAGTCTGTCTGTCTGATTGATTGATTAATTATGGCATTTAATCGTTGTTGCATTGATCGTTTGTTGATCTCTTTCATCCGATGTTTTATATAAACGTATTGCAGCAGCAGCGGTTGTAGTATTACTAAAATGTAAACTATTACCACCACCATTGTTGTTGTTGTTATTTGGAACCATTGTTGTCGATATATTTGTAGTTGCTGTTTGATTACCAAAATTATTCGATAATGATGATCCGGTTATTGGCAATGATGATGTTGATATTGCCATTGAAACACCGATACCACCACCACCACCACCAATACCATTCATCGGATTATTATTTATTGTCATCGTCGTCGTATTTATATTGGATGATGATGAGGTAAAAATTTGACCAGATGATGATAATGATGATGATGACGATGAATTTAAATTTGTTTGATGAAAACCATTCAATAATGAATGGTGATTATTTGATGATGATAATGATTGTAAATTGGATGAATTATTATTGTTGTTATTATTTATATTACGTATTAAATCTTCAGCTGATATAATTTGCTGTTTATTTATTAGATTTGTTGTTGTTGTTGTCGTTGTTGTTGATGGTGATGATGATAATGATGACGGTGGTGATAATGGTGATATTAGATCAAAATCATATAATGATAGATCAATATCATCAAATATTTCTGTATCATTTGATGTTGTTGTTGTTGCATAGGTTGCATGATGATGATGATGATGATGATGATGATATGGATTCATCATTGAATATGATGTGATTAGATTTGTTACCGCCGCCGTTGCCGATGTTGTTGTTGTTGTTATCGATGAAAGTGGTAGTAGTGGTGGTTGTATCGATATAGTCGATACTGTTGTCGATAATGATGATGGTGTTGAACAGTTGGTGGTATTCGTACATGATGTTACAATTGGATCGGATGTAATTAAAGTCGCTGCTGCTACTACTGCTGCTTCTGTTGTTGTTTTTGTTGTGGTAGATTTTGTAAGCTCCGTTGTAGTTGTCGACCTCGTAGTCGCCGTTAAGGAATCATCAATTGTCATCGACGATGATAATGATGATGGTGAATCATCAAATGAATTGATGGAATTATTCCAACCATCAACATTATTTGTATCCAAATTTGTCATTTGAACATCATTGTTGCTGCTGCTGCTGCTGTTGTTGTTGTTTGTTGTTGGCCAAAAAACATTGCCATCAATGTTATTTGAATTGTTACAGGAATTATTATTATCATCATCATCATTCGATGATGATCTAATAAATGGTGTTGCACGACCCGATGATGATGAACATTCAATGGTAGTAAAATATTTATCATAATCATTACCATTAATTAATGAATCTGTAGCTGTTGTCACTGTCGATGTTATTGATGGTAACGATGATGATGATTCACATGAATTCTGGACAGATGATGAAGATGAAGAATAAGCTGATTGATACATTGTAGATTGTTGTTGATGAGAATGGACATCCGATATTGATGGATCAAATGGAACATCGCCATGATGATGATTATGATGATGTTCCAATGATAAAGGCTGTTGTGGTTGTAGCGGTTGTGATTGCGATTGTAATGAAGGCAATATATCAACAGGTGCTACAGATGATACTGGCGATAAAAATGGTATACCATTTGGACTAACATTAACTTTAAGGCCATCACGTTCTAATTCTTTTTCCAACATACGTAATGTATTACAAATCATTACCGAACGATGTAATGATATATCCGATGATTGTTGACGAAAACGATTCAATTTACACATGGATAAATTGAATATTTGTTGCCGTTGTCTTAATAGATTATTATTATTGCTATTACGAACAGCTTTTGTTGTATTATATTGTTGTTGTAATGATGGTAACATATTATATGAACAATAATATTCTTGATGATTATCATCATTATTTGTAATCGTTATCGTTGGATCATCGATAATAATATCTGTGATTGTATCATTCGTTGTGCTTATTAAAGGCATTGTTGTTGTTGTAGGCGTTACCGTTAAGGAAGTTGATGATGATGGGGAGGAGGATGTAGATTGGCTTTCAGGATAATCCGGTTGTTGGGAGGTGGATGATAAAATTTCTGTTGTCGAACAAGATGATGAGGAGGAGACTCGTCTTTGTTGTTGAGAATCATTATTATTATTATTACTAAGAAATTCATTGCTTGATGATTGATAGATTAGATCTGAATGATGCGGATGATGGTGATGATGATGATGATTATAAACGAGATCAACTTTTTCAATGTCACCACATTCTTCTTCTTCTTCTTCTTCATCATCATCATCATCATCATCTTCATAATCATCGGAATCTTCATCAGAATCTTCATCATCGTCATCATCATCATCATCATCGGAATCATCTTCATCAACATCAGAATCATCATTATCAACAACAACATTATCATAATAATCTGATGATTGTGATGATGTTAAAATAGCCGTACTTTTCATTATTGTTGGCAATTGATTATCATGATCATCATCATCATCATTATTATTTTGTATAGTAAGTAATTTTGTTGTTGTTGCCGAAATAGTCGGCATCATCGATGATGATTCAATAGCCAATTTTTTTGATGGTGATAGTAATAATATTTCCGATTCATCACCATTATTATCAAATTTACGTTTCATTGAACCATTAACCATTGATGATTGTTCGTGTTGACTAATCAATATATGATCATTATCAATATGTTTATTATCAAGATGACAAAATTCAACATTTGTAATTGTATTTGTTGTTGTTGTTGCTGCTGCTGCTGCTACTACCTCTACCGTAGTTGTCGGTGGTGATGATGATGGTGGTGGCAATGATGAAGACATTGTTGTTGTTGTTGTTGTTGTTGTCGCTGCTGCTGCTGCTGCTGCTGTTGAAATATCATTGACAATTTTTGAAAAATTAAGCTCAAAAAGCATATCGTTAATTTGGTATAATCGTCAGAAAACAAAAAAAAAAGAACAAACAAACAAACAAAAAAAAGAAAAACTTGTTGATTCACAAACAACGAAACATTATGTTGTCCACTAGTAGTGATGATTACGATGCTGATGATTCTATACACACAACAACAAAAAAAAAACAAACAAATAAAAAAAATCAGATTAGAATTTGTCATTTAATCAATCAATCAAGAATATTCTACAAAAATGAATATCAAAACACACACACACACATACATAACAAAAATATTCAACAACAACAACAACAACGGTCCTTCGCAAAATAAATGTATTTTATTTTCACCATTTTTTTTTTTTTTTTTTTTCTTTAAACTTCGTATATATATATCTACGTGTATGAAAAAATATCATTCTTTTTTTTGCCATTTTTTTTCTTCGTTTCTCTCTTTGATTGCTGTCCATATTTTATTTTCTTGTCTCTTTTTTTTCAATATTTTTTTTCTAGAAAAAAAAATAAATAAATAATGATGATGATGATGGTGGTGATGTGACTTTTTGGTGGATTTGTGTGTGTGTTGTGTTTGATATTTTACACAGTTGAAAGTTTTTCAATTCACTTATCATACACACACACACACACACACACACACTTGTTGCATGCGAATACATTTTCTCAATTATGTTTGCCGTTAGTTTATTTTTTATGCAGTTGATTTATAATATTGGCGCCTTATTCATTGTATGGATGGCGTCTAAATACAGGTTTTCTTTTCTTTATTCTCTCTCTCTCTCTCTAGCTCTGTCTTTGTCGTTGACGATGGATAGATTCTCCTTTCCTCCCTCCTTTTGCTTGTTTGTTTGTTTGTTAAAAGCTAGTTTTATTTTTCTTTTCAAAATTTTATGATTTTTTTTTCAAATTTTTGTTTCTATCCATCCATCCACATTCGTTCCAAGTGTTGTTGTTGTTGTTGTTGTTCTGTCTATATTTTTCATTTGATATAGCTTCCCGCTTGAATGAATGAAATGTGTATGCATGTGTATGTGTGTGTGGAACACATAAAAACAAAAAAAAAATCTAACGGGCCATCTTTCACGTTTTACTTCTTTTTTGTTGTTGCTTGCTGCTGCTGCTGCTGAAGCAAGCAACAAATGATTGAGTAGAAGTGGACGATGTATAAGAAAATCTAGGTCAACACAAAAAAAGTTTCTCTATTTCTCTCTCTATATATATAAATGTCTGTGTGTATTTGTTATATTTTTTTAATGAAAACGCAGTGAACACAGGTTTTTCGTTTTTCGAATGTAAAACGATGAAAAAAAAGCAATGAATTTATCATCTAAATAATTCGAATCGATCAATGATTGATCAATAATAATCATACAGAATGGCCAGAATATTTTTATACAAAATAAATTCTTTGATTTGATGCAGTTGATACAGTTGTCGGCTATTTTAACATGAAAAAGATCTCTTTCTCTCTCTCTGATCTGGATATGACCAAGTTTGTAATGTGTTGGAAATAATGGAAAGAGAAATTTATATTCATTCTTTGAATCAAAAAAAAAAAATTTTCTCTACATCATCAACAACACAACACTGAATTTTTGTGTGTGTGAATGCATATGGCGCCCAATACTAGCGATTGTAGCGCACCAATCGACAAACTTGGAATGTAACAAAAAAAAATCTTGGAACAATTACAAATACCTGTTGATTTTTCATTTCATCCATTTTTGATGACCATTAGATGGCATTATCATCATCATCATCATTATTAGAGCCGGAAATTATACAAGGGCCCAATAGTGATCAGTAACAGATAAAAAATTTAAATTACTATGACAATGACACAATGATTATCATAAACACACACATATATGTGATTGCCACTGTCAAGGAGAAAAAAAAACGACAGAAAACGTAAAATCTTATCTTGTAAATTTTTTTTTTTTTTGAACTTAAAACTTGGAAATCAGAAAAAAAACTGTTTTTTTTCATTTCAAATTCCATTTCATTGAGTTTGAATATGAAAAACACACACACACAAACTAACAAACAAACAAATTCGATCAATAGATATAGAGATGGTGTCGATGACTTTCAAATTGTTTCGTTCATCATACACACACACACACACAAAGAGAAAAAAGAGCTTCTTCATCATCAAATCAAATAAAGATTTTTTTTCCCCATTTTGTTTTGATGCTATCAATGTTGTTGTTGTTGTTGTTGTTATTGTGATAGTAGCTGCAATTTTTGTTTGTTTGTTTGTTTCATTGTGTGTGTGTGTGATCTAGTTTCAATCCAAATCAGTTTCTGATTTGGATTCAAAACTAAATCAAGAAACAAAACAATGAACAAAAAAAAATCCAACCCATTATTTACCCAAAAAAATGGGAATTTCATTCATTCTAGATAATTCTGTATATTCTCTCTTGGTTTGTGAAAACACATGTCCCTGGAACAACAGAAAAAAACTTTGGGTATGAGTCATCATCATCGATGATCTAGAAAAAAAAACCAACCAGCTAACACAATACAACACACACACACACACACCAGCCATTTTTTTTATTATTCGAGCGCTTTTATACACACAGACACAATGAACTGAACAAACACAACTAAAGCATAAAGAGGACATCTGCCAGACTAGAACCAGATCCAGACCCAGAACATCTACAACAACAGCAAAAAAAAAAAAAAAAATAGAGAGGAGGAGGAAGATGGAAAGAAAAATCTAACCAGAAAAAAACGCGTGCTACTAGACAAGAGAGAAAAAATAAATAAATCGTGCACGTGCATTTCAGGGAAACGTTTCTGTATATATACTATACCCACCATATATACACACAAACATTAATGGTCGATCCATATGGATTTTTTCTTTTCATTTTCAAAACAATTCTGGAACTCTGAACTAAAACCAAAAATTTTGACACATTAAAACATCACATATTTTTCCAGCAAAAAAAAAATAAATCACAAAATTATCACATAGATAGGAATAGCATAATAATAAGATGATGATGATGTACGCAGTTATTTTTGTTTTCACTGTTTAATTTTTGATTTAATTTTTTTTTGTTCTTTTCACGAGTAAATCGCGTAATGATCAATATAATTTTTTTTTAAAAATAGATTTTCATCATCATCAATAATCAATAGAAACGCAACAACAAAAAAAAATTATCAATTAGCATCAAAAATCATTATCAAACGCACACACACACACACACACACACACTGATGGCCAAACTACTACTAAAATATTTATCATATATCAAAAACCACAAGTAAGGTACTAAATTTACAAACCAAAAAAAAAAAAAAATTTTTCTAATCTGGTATTTTTTTTATCTGTATGTATGGAATGTTGCAATATTGAGCAAAAAAAAAAAAAAATGTATTGGAAATGAGATATCGATTTTTTGTTTTGTTTTGTTGAAAATGAAAAATTTTCCATTGATAATCATCATAATGTTGATGATGATAATTTTTGATTAATCAATCCTTTATATCAATCTTGTCAGGTTTTCAAATTGACCCTGCGTTTGTTCCAATGACATATACCTACCTATATAAGCATACAGGTCCAAACTAACCAAGAAAAAAAAAAAAAACAAAAGTTAATTTTGTTGACACTTTCAAAAATTAATAGTAGTAGTAGTAGTAGTAATAATAATGGTGGCAGTGGTATCAAACAATGAACATGAAAATATAACTGAGCATTTAATTCATTCAGTTACTAATACCACTACTACTATGCTATAGAGTGATGCATATATATGTCAGGGATACATACAACATTTACACTGAAATATATATTACCATTGTCAATGTTGTTGAGATTTTATGTTTAATGAATTTGTATAATACCCCTGGATCCAATATATACAGAATTATATTATCATCATACAAAAATCTTTTCATTTTTGTTTGCCGGAAAATGCAAACAAACAACCGAAAATCTTTTTCATGTTAAAAAGATCAAAGAAGAACAAAAACAAACGGTATCCAATGGATACCTGAATTATTATTTCAAAAACAGGGACAAAAGACATTTGCTAATACACATTTGGAGAAAAAAAAATGGAACCAAATCAAAACAAAAAAAAAAAAGAGAATCGAGGGTAATATGTATGCTGTTGAATTAATATTGACCATCATCATCAATTTTGTCCGATCCGGTTATTCACAATGGAAACAACTCTGTTTTTTTTTCTTGTTTTTCATATTCCATTCTCTATCAATCACTCTTTCTTGTTCTCTTATTCAACCAGTCAATTTACCTAGTGAAACAATGCAGAGAGAGAGAAAAAAAAGTGGGACACCTTGTTGCGCATTTGTACTGTATGAAAAAAAAATGCCGCGCATTTTC